ACCCACGTGGGAGACTGGAATGAAGTTCCTGGTGTCGGCTTGGACCAGCCCTAGCTGTTGGGCCATCTGGGGAGTGAACCAGCAGACTCTTTATCTGCCTTCTCTCTCTTTCTGTAACTCTGCCTTTCAAATAAAAAATAATTTTTTTAAAGGGAATGGATCTTGTGACTATAGACAACTCTTCCAACAAGTTTTACAGTCAGAGGGAATCACTAAAATGAGATTAGTCAGAGGAATTTTGGCATCAAGAGAATATTGTTCAAAGTTGATAAAAATAGAATATGTTTGTGTAGCAAAATGAGTAATTCGGTAGAGAAGAAAAAATGTCTGATTCAAGCAAGTAAAGGACTGATTGCACACACACAAAGGAATCATTAAGAGGGCAAGAAGACATATGAAGCTGATAAGATTTTAGTTGAATTTTGCCTAAATTATGTCTTATATTTAAATTTTCTGATGTAAACACTTTATCCAGTTGTGGATGGAAGTGGCATAGTATACCCTAAAGTTCTGGAGATCTTCTGAATTTGTATATGGAATGTTTTTGCAGTGCATAATGCTACTACTTCTCTTTGAATTTGTTTTATAGATTGGAAAATAATCTGATCAGCGCTACAGCAAAAGGCTGTCACTACTGCTGGCCCAGTGGCCAGAATATGTTTGTGCTTGTGCTTACCCTATGTGCAGACCTGGCTTACCTGTGAGTGTAATCTGGAACACTGTCAGGACAGTGAGGAAAAAACGGAACTTCTAAAGGGGGTGGGAGTGTGAGGGAGTGCTTCTGCCCAACTCCATTGGCTGTTGCAAGGAACTTGTTCATAGATTTTTGTAGACAGCCTAAGATAATTTTTAAAAGGCAGGGGATGTTTATTGGACCTATGCAGTGCCGTGTGAGTGCATAAATGAGAGAGGAAATAGCAAGTGTTGTCTTTGATAAAGAAAACTTGATTATTGGAATGGTGAAAGCTTAAAAATAAAGAATCATGGACAGCCTGATGGGGATGTTCTGGCAAAAAAAAAAAAATACAGGTCAGATGTTCATAAACTATGGGAATACGGTCCTAACCAAAGGTATCGTTATAAATAATAAATTCAGTTTTGAGTTCACATGATAATTGTTCGTCTTTCCATGAAAAATCGTGTTTTATACTTAGTTTCCTATTTTTTATTTTTATAGATTTATCTGTTTATTTGAAAGGTAGAGTTACAGAGAGAAGGAGAAAGAGAGAGAGACAGAGAGAGATCTTCCATCCACTGGTTCACTTCCCAAATGGGCACAATGGCCAGAGCAGTGCCACGCCGAGGGCAGGAGCTTCTTCAGCATCTCCCACATGGGAGCAGGGGCCCAGGGTCTTGAGCTGTATTCTACTGCTCTCCCAGGTGTGTTAGCACGGAGCAGGATCACAATTGGAGCAGCCAGGAGTTGAACCGGTGCCCGTGTAGGATGCCAGCTGGCCCTTGCAGGCTGCAGCTTAACCTGCTGTGTCTAGTACCAGCCGCATAACAGCACATTCTAAATTAGAGATTTTTTAAGATGTTACTTTTGAGATTTCATCAGGATTCATGAATCATAAATATTTGTAATATTTGAATACATTCTCTACATTTCTTGGATAAGCACCAAAAGTTGGAAGAAAAATAAGCAAAACAAATTTTGTTACTTTATTAATGTGTATGGCCACTTCCTATTACAATAGTGAATGGATAACGAGGTCCAGTTTAAGGTGAGGGATTTTGATGGCTAGAATAACAACAGTGATATGTTGAATGTAGGCAGAGATACAGAGGATAAAAACTGTTTTCGGAGAAAGGAGTTAACACTGTTTGTATTGGCTTATAGGGTTCTGGGTAGGGAGAGAGCAGTGCTGCTAGCGATAGAAAGAGTGTTCTTCCTTTTCATGGCGCCGTGGCGTATTCTCTACTTGGTGTATAATATTCAGAAACATTAGGAAGCTTACTGTTTGTCCTGAAATTATGGAAAAAAGTATTTTCTCTTTTGAAAAGTTGCTTGAAATACATACACAGAGGTAAATGATTGGAGAAATAGTCCAGCTTTGGGGCCTCTCACACATTTGTCCATTTTCTGCTTCTGCCACTCTGGTTGCTAGACTGTTCACTATATGGCTGGCTTCCATTGTCACCTGCCAGTCCTCTCCATCTTTCTTGGATCTGGTTTGATTCGGTGAGGTTCCTCAGTATTGAGATTTCTCAGTATTAATATTTAATTGAGTAAGCTAACGTAGTTGACTTTTTATGATTGCCACCAGGTCTGCTAATCAGGTCTATAAAGCCAGATAGCACAATCCTTCCAATGGCTTGTGTTGAGTACTTACTGTGAACTCCCCCGGGATCTTTGCCTGTATGGTCTCAGTTACTCCTCAGAGCAGTGCCATAAGGTAAACAGTAGTTTATGTATTTTACAGAAGAGGAAGATGGTGCCTGGGAGTATAATTTGCCCAGAATCATCTGGAACCCTGGGCTCTGACTCTAGTCCTCATTCTTGTGTAATTTTTCTTTTTTGGGAAGAAGCTTTGTTAAGTTCCAGTAACTAAGTACAGAATAAAGGTAATTTTGTGAGCACAGAAAGTAATAGAGAACATCTGTGGCTACAAGTTTTACTTGTTTGCTCACTCTGGTGCACAAATGCTTTTTGTACTCTTTCCCTGAAAACGATCTTTACTATAGTGCCCAGTAATTTTGAATAAACTGAAGGGCTAATTTGTAAGACTAAATAGTAATCTTTGCCTCATTTGAGTTCCGGTGCCTCTGCCAATGACTTTACATGCTGTATGGAGAAGTAATTAACATGTGGTTTTTAGTTGGTATTCATCAAATGCTTATGGAACGGATTCTGACATAGTTCTAAAGATGCTTCTGATTTAGAATATTGTAAGCTTTGCAAGTCCTACTGGATATTGCCACAAAGGCTAACTTCACATCTTGCAAGTATGTAGGGGAAGGAAAACAGTTACTTTATATATAGGCCAGTTAATTACAAAAGTCAAATATTTCAGATTACCAGTCTGATAGTTATTTTTTCTTCTTAAATTTTTGAGCAGCATAATTGCTAGATTCATATAAGATGCTGCTCTGTCTTGCCTGCCAAACTTCATAATCACAGAAACCACTTTTAATTTGCTAACAACCAGCTTCTGGTTCTCATTTTCTAGAGCCTTCATGCTATTTCATCAGCATAGGCAGAAATACAAAGCCAGCGTGTGTATTCCCGTCTCTGAATGCAGGGATGGTTAGTAGTGCCTTGGTTTTAAATCATAAAGTTTCACAACTAGCTTTTTAAAAATAGAGCTTTGGGCTCCATTTTTGCACCCTATTTCTCCGCCCCACTCTTAGCAGCAGAAACAAAGCTTCCTTTTCTATCTTGGACAGTTAAAAAAAATATTGATTATAAAATTGGTTTATTACTTTTAAGCAGTCATAATTGCTACTTAATGGAATCATCTGTGGGTGGACTTAAAGGTAGTTAGGAATGTGGGAACCAACTTTGTTCCATGCTGTAAAGGATTTTAATGCTTGAAGACCAATATAAGTATTTACTTATTTATTTGCAAGGCATAGACACTCAGAGAGCAATCTGCCATCTGCTGGTTCTCTCCTTCCAGCTGTCGCAACAGCCAGAGCCATGCCGGGCTGAAGTTGCAGGTCTCTTTTGTGTAGCAGGAACCATCTCCCGGGATGTAGAGTAGTGGGAAGCTCGAATCGTGAGTGGAGCTGTGACTTGAATCCAGGCGCTCTGGATAGGGGATAGATTCATCTGTAGATTGAACAGTCTGCAGGGCATCCGCTTGTGACCGGTGGTGTCCTTTGTGAGACATAGTGGTGCAGTTGCATAATTTGAGGGAGACTAGGTTTGTATAATCAGAGATACTTACTCTTTTGTGATACAATTGTGTTTCCACATACTCAGAAATTCTGCTGTTTTTTCAATTCCTGGCTACTTAGGGAGAATGAGATACCAGCACTTAGCTCCATGAAAAGAAAAAGGGGTGCTGCTAGTGAGAGCTCAGAAACTCAGTCGGAGCCCTGAAAGTTAAGAGAGAATGAGAGAGCAAATCTGCCAAGGTCAGGTCTTGGGTACCTGTTGGAAGTGTCTCGGTTCCTTGTGAAGCAGTTGTGCTAATATAGTATGTATTCAAACACTCTCCAAGCTGGGTGCTATGGTTTGGATGTGATCTGTCTCCCAAAGGTTCATGTCAGAAACTGTATCCCTCCCCATCGTGGTGATGTTAGGAGGAGGCAGAATCTTTAAGAGGTGGAGTTAGTAGGAGATGGCTGAGATCCTTGTAGGGGATGGCTTCCCACCAAGGGGATTAACACAGTTGTAATGGAACCTTCGTTGTTCTTGAGAGAGCTAAGACTATTGGAGAGTGGTTCCAAAGGAGCAAGTCTAGTCCCTGAAAGGGGCTCTGGCTTCCTGTGTCACCTTGTCATCTCTACCTCATGCACATGCTGCCATCTTGATGCCAGTGCGTTACCAAATGGGCCCTGGACAGAGCCAGCACAATGCTGTTTATACTTTTAACTTCTAAAACTGTGAGCTGAAGAAACCTCTTATTCTTGATCAAGTACCTAGATCAAGTATCTCATTATGGTACTAGAAAACGGACTACTATACCAGGACCGCTCCTTCACCGTACACTCTCAGTATTGACAGGGACAAGTTCCTACAAACAATTGACATGCGAGAGAAAATGGCAATTCTGTTTACAAGTTAGCAGTGCAGTGATAAAGCAGAATGAAGTTTGACTCAATAATGCAGTAAATGTGTCACTGCTGATTCCCTAAAGAAGGGAAACACTGATAAAGCCACATAGCAAGGACACTGCTATTTAGTTTCCTGCCTGTGTAAAGATGACTACTTCTGTGTGTTTTACTGCTGTGAAAACTGAGGGTTGGAGGGTATTGATGTGATCTGGTAAGAAAAAATAGTAACTTATTTTGTTGCCTGTAGACATTTTCATAGAAATGCTTCACACAATGAATACATCAAAAACCATACTTTATTTTATGTATAGCAATACAATTTACATATTAAATAACACTATAATAGAATGATTTGATATAGTTTTAAACAGAAGAAAAAAGGGAAAAATTTCAGGTTACAAAACCCCTCCCCCCTTGGAACAAATGAAAAAAAAATCACTTTTTCAATATGGGTCAATGCAACAGATGGATTCAGTGACTAATTATGTCTAATTCCTATTGCACAAATGGTAATTGAATTAAAAAGGAAAACCCAACTTTCACAATCACTGCCTCAAAGAAATAACACGAGTTGGATTCTTTGGGAATGCAAAGATGGTTCTTGCTACTTCAATACACAGAAAGTTGAATTCACATATCCACCACGAAAAGAAAAAAAAAAAAACTATGACAGAGTTGAAACTAGAAAAAAATTAGCTTTATATGAAAATATAAAATTCTATGATTATATACCATAGATACAAAGTTCCCAGAAGATGTTTACCCAAGCAACAAAATATTTACAGTTTTAATGACTTTTAGCTATTTCAGAATGAAGTGAACGAAACAGGAGTCAACATGAAGGCTGGATTCTTTAGAAACAATGGCTGCTTGCTAGTTTCAAACGCCTTAACAAAAAAGGAGTCACTACCCCAAATGTTGGAGAGTTGCGACATTTTATAAAATTGACTGTCTCCTTTTTTGGAGATGTTTATTTCGTAAAACTCAAGATATTTTTCTTGAAATTAATTATCCTCTGTAGAAAATGCTTCCCTTTGCAAATATTTAACAAAAATACTAAAAACAGTTTAACAGCTAAGACAAAGTAGTGGCCAAATATCATTATTACAATTCCTTTCTATTTGTAGCATGCCTTCTTTCTAGAGATAAGAAAAGCTGATGTCCTGTATGTTAAATGACAACAAAGGGAAAGTGCAAAGGGTTAAATGTAATTAGAGCTGTTAAAAAAAAAAAGCAGGCATTTTTCCCTTCATATAAAAATTCACTGGCACCATTTGAACACCACTTTTAGAATGTAGGAGTTGAAAATGCATTTTCCATTATAACCACTAAAGTTTATGTTTTGATTATTTTTTCGGAAATTAGGGTGAGTTTGGGTTTTTAAATTCTTTTTGCTTAGAATTAGTAATATGTATCTTTGGTAAATTGGTATTTGTATTTTAGTTTTAAATACAATATATATGCGTTAAAAAAGTCATAACAAGGCAGTTGTGCTGTGTTCTTATAAAATAAGTAAGGTTATTTATTGATTTCACTATGTCACTCTGGGCTCAAAATCCCAACAGCCTAAACACTTTCTTTGACCTTGCTGGACTTTGTACATGAAACGGACTATAAAAACTCCAAGGCATAAAAATTAGGAAAACCAATTGAACTTATCCTCCTTCAAATCTAGATGTTACCTTTTAGAGGTATCATGGTGGTCAGATGCAAGAAAGAACTCTTCTGAAGGCAACAGGTGTCTCTTTGCTGATGTCCAGCATGGCTACTTGGTGTCATCATTGCAACTCAGATTTTTCTGTTTGTCTAGAACTAAATTTGTACACTAATTCATCTTCATTTATAAGAAAGCACACGTTAATTTGCAGTAGCTATTTCCTTCCCCCCCGAGTGCAAGTGATGATAACCTTATTTACTAAGCAGTGTGCTTGTGTTTCAAAGACACTGTTGTCTTTGAAACTCTCTGCCTCTGGAAAGACAGAAGCATCTTTTTGCCAGTAACTAGTGATATGCTCTGTGGTGCGAGTGAGGGACTGCCGAATGTCACTGTCCTCATTGAAGTGTGTTTGGATTCTTTTGGCAAGATGCGCAAATAGCAACTGCTCCGTAGGCCAGCAGGTCAGCATTTGTAGGCTGTGGTTCAAGTCTGCTGTCGACACAGAAATTGCTCACAGAGAACTTCTCAACCATCTTAATAATGCATTTATCCACCTTACTGGCTGTCTGTTTATCATGATTCTGATACTAAGAGAGTCACAGATTTGTGTTGGAGGGTAGGCATTTCCATGAATTGAGTTCAGAAGGGAATACGTGCTACCTGTCTTCCAGCTAATGGATACTTTTATGAGGAAAAAAGGTACAGGGGGACTTCTGTGTCACTTCCTGATGTCAAGTGCAATTCCATACTCTGAACAGCTAAAATCACTTGCTTGGCTAAAAAGTTCAGCTCTGGCCAGAATCTGAAACCTTTGCCTTCCAATCCCCCTCTGCCTTCTGGCAGATGTCATGTTCCTAGGTTCAAGCTTTCCTGTGTTAGATGGAGCTTTCTCTCTCACCCCTGGTGGGAGCAGGGAGACAGAAAAGGCATCCATGTCATCTAGCACCTCTAATGTAACAAACTAGGAACACCTGAACACTTTTTCTTAAGACACATACAGTTTTTGAAATGTAGACTCTCGCATGGGTGAATCTGTGTAATGAAAAAGTGAACTTAACCTAGCAGGCTAGGCAGGTCTTGAGAACTCTGTTGACCTGGCCTGTGCACGTGAACTCTTGCACTTGGCCTGTAGACTCTCTCTTTGGTCCCCCAACACCATTCTGAAAAACTTCCCCGGTGCTGATCATCATTAATGCTTTAATGCCTACTCACATAGTTTGATGGCAGCCACTGTGGCCTCTTTGTTGAAGTTTACTGCCATACTAGGCATTTAAAAACTAAGCAAAATCCTCTTCTTCTTAACAGGCCCAGTTCTGGAGAGGATTTCGCTTCTGTTGGAAGCCATCCCTCAAAAGCAAACATGCAGTGGAAGAAATGAATCACAGTAAGTAGCTTACATTTCTAACAGATTCTACTGACATTTCCTAGACATGCTTTGAATTTTCCTATTACATACTGCAGCGTGAATATAGCTCCGAAGTTAAGTCACATCACTTCCTTGGGCTCTACCGATTACAGGCGTCTTTTCCTCTAGTGTGTCTGTTCTTGAGGCTAAAGTACACAAAAGCATACAAAACTGTCTCTTTTAAAAAAATTGCTTGAACATTTATAGCAACACTTTTCCCTGCTTCCATGATTCTGGTTTTTTTCTCCAAATCAGGTTTGCTATGTGTAGGAGGGTAGCTAGTCCCAAGAGTCTTGCTAATACAGTGTTTTCAATTTAAGCTGAAATAGTAGAATGTATGGGATCCAGATATTTAGTATGAGACATTTGGCAAAAAGGAAAGGAAAGAATTTGACTACATAGGTAGTTTTTATTAGACATCTATATGAGCAATAGGGAACTCTTAGAGGACTAGTTTCAAAATGATACAGCAAAAAGTTTTCATTCTTCTATCTGTCATGAGGTATGGTATTATAAGCCAAGAAACCTTAGTGAAGAGTAAAGAAAGGGCTTCACAGCTGTGTAAAATATTCCCATCTCTCTATTTTCAGACAGCCCTGAATTGAGGGTGCAGCTACTTCAGAGTCAACATGGAAATAACACACACTGTCCACATAGCTACCGTGAAAGCCATAATACAGAGTTGTCTTTTATTTTGACATAATCTTTAAGATTTGAATATAACTTTGCAACTAATAGGAAGTGTTCATCTGAAGCAATCCTTAAGCCTTCTAATGTCCTATGGAATCTCTTAACCCTGTCAGTGGAACTGTCTTCAAGGCCACGACCTCACTAGACCATCCTTGGAGCTTTCGGTAGCCTGTTGTTCTGCAAAAGTAAATGCTTATCCACTCCTTTAAAATACAGAAGGCATACAGTATTGAGCAATGCCTCAAAACAAAAACAAAACCAACAGCAACGAGAACAACAACAACCAAAAAAAACCAGGAGAGGATGACTGAGGACAAGTCGAGCATTGCCTGCTAGTAGAATGCAACCGCTTTAGCAGTAATCAAAGTAAAATCGAGATTCACTGTCAGAACAAAGACCTGCACTGTACTGAACTAAAAGAGTAGCGTGTACTATCATGGAATGTCACGTCAGGGTTTGCTTTAGTATTAGATTATAGGCAGTAACACTGATCAGATAGTGCAAACTAGGTAAAACTGTTTCACTGTGTGAAATGAACAGAGGTGCAAATGCTCAGTAGGATACCATTAAGACATAAAATGGCAAAAAATAAATATCAAAACTTTTATCAGTGTAAAAAAGTAACTGGGTTATTGTATAACCTAGAGTCTGGCAAAAAAGGCCTCAAAAAAGTTCTCAGTCTTCAAGAAGTTTACAAAGTAAGCGCCCTTGCAGGGTTCCAGTCACACCAGAGACTCCATGCTCTCGGCAGGGTCTGATTCGTCGGCAATTAGGACAGCACCATTTTTGTCCACTGTCATGGGACCGTTTCCATTTTCTTTAGTGCTGACCAAGCTGAGCATTGCTTTATAGACAAACTGGTATTGTTCCTGGAAAACAAGAGGAAGACAGTTGAGCCAGAGAACACCTGGGTAATTCTATGTCAGGTAGAAATACCGAATAAAGATGTCATTGTGGAAAACATGCTAGAGAAACTGGAATAGCATAAGTGTTATTGAAGACACTGCTGAGCAAGATCACTCCAATCCTTGATGATTAAGTTCCTTACCTTCTTCCTGTCCTTTATGTCTGTTAACTTGGGACCGGTTCTCCGGTTGACATGGTTCATTCCAAAAAGGGACTATCCGTGTCTGACAGAGAACACTGAGCACTCTGAAGCAGGGTGTCTCAGCCTCGGCCAGGTCATTGTACATGCTCCAGGGCTGTCCTGTGCACACTGGAACGTTTGGCAACATTGCTAACCTGTATCCACTAGATGCCAGGGTTCCTTTTTCCGTCTGCATTTGTGACAGTCGGAAAAGGCTGCAGGCATTCCCAAACAGCCAGTGGCAGGCAAAACTACCCCCAGTTCGGAACCACTGCTCTAAAGGAGGAGTCTGAGCGCTGGCCAGTACTGTCCAGGTTTTTCAAATAAGCAAATACTTACAATGTCTGTGAAGACACCAGGCCTCATAAGATTGATCATTTTTGCAACCTGGAAAACATCCACAGCGTTCTCATTCTCCAGTTGCTGGGACAGGGTGGTAAGGGCACATAACATTCCTGCTGAAACTGCTCCATACCTGGAGGGTGGAAGACACTGTTTCAGATTTATTAAGGGACTGAATACACTGGAAAGAAATCACCATCATGCATTTCTTTTTTGAGAAACTGAGTCACTTGTATTGACATCTGTTCTAGAAGACAGACATTAATGAAATGCAGGATAGGGAGAAGGGTTTGGAAGCTAGCACAAAGATGATGTTTGTTTATGAATATGAGATTTCCCAAACTGGTTATCAGACGTGTCGCTAGATACCTGATGGTAAAGGAGAGGCTTAAAAGTAGATGGAAGCTCTTTCTCTTTGTACCTTTCAAAAAAAAAAATGAGGGCTATAGAAGATACAGTGCTGGGAATGAGTTGGGTGGTACAATAGGAAAAATGGTAGAAGGGAACCTCAGCGTTTGGACAAATGGCAGTGGATGAAAGGCTCTGAAAATTTTTTTCACCCCAAAAAGCTAACTTGAACTTCTGAGATAGGAAGAATAACAAATGGAAATGTGTGGCTCAAAACCAAGTCAGAGAATTTTCAAAATTAGTTTCTTATTAACTAATTATTTCTGGCACCGAAATGGAACTTTCAACATGAGAGCACTCTATACAAAATCCTTGGAAAAAGTAAACATGGCTATTTTTGCTTGACACCCAAAAAGGCCAGGTTTGCAAGTCTAGTTGTTATGGGAACCTGTGATGGCACTGAGCTTCCATCTGTGCTAAGTGGCATTGTGGGTCAGGGGTAAAAATGAGACTGCATGTCACATGCACTGTCCCACTCTTCTGTTACAAACCACTGAATAATGCAGCTTTTGAAGTCATATGTCTAACTGAAGTACTGCACCTGTTTTGCATATTTCATATGAGTGAAAATAAGGTCGAATTCCCTTTTAATTAGCAAATCAGCCTGCGAGGTAAAAAGTGTTGTACTGTACATTTCAGTACCTTGCATTATTCCATCCATGGAAAACATACCGCATTGACTGCCTCCGCTCTGGCTAGTTTGTGTCTTGTGCCCTTTAGTCCAAAGTACCACAAATTGAAGAGCTGGGTCACAGGTATGCCTGTTAGTGGTTTTAAGGATACTGCCGTATTTCTTCCCCACATGGTGGTTACCTCTTCATGTTGCACTCAGCATGAGAAGATTGTTTGTGGTCTTCATTTTAAACTTCAAACTATTTTGCCAATCTAATGGGTGAAACTCTTTTTCTTGTTGTTTAAGTTTGCATTTGCTTGACTCTCAGGGAGGTTGCTTTTTAAATTTTTTTGTATTTATTGACCGTATGTATCTTCCTTTTTGAAAACTGCCCAGCTGATATATCTTGAGTGCTTTCTATTAGGTTTTTTTTTTTTTAAGATTTATTTATTTATTCGAAAGTCAGAGTTACACAGAGAGAGAGAGACAGACAGAACCATGTGCTGGTTTACTCCCCAGATGGCCGCAATGGCCGGAGCTACGCCGATCCGAAGCCAGGAGCCAGGAGCTTTTTCTGGGTCTCCCACGTGGGTGCAGGGACTCAAGGACATGAGCCATCTTCTGCTATCCCAGGCCATAGCAAAGAGCTGGATCTGAAGAGGAGTATCTGGGACTCGAACCGGCACCCATACAGGATGCTGGCACTTCAGGCCAAGGCGTTAACCCGTTGCGCCACAGCGCCGGCCCCTCTATTAGGTTTGTCTCTTTTGAATGGAAGTGTAAGTTAGAGTAATTATAGTATATGTTGCACTTCAGTCTCTTACAACTCTTCAGGTTGTTTATGGTCTTTTTTGGATGTTGTTAAACTGAAGTACACTTAATCTTTTACTTTTGCTTTTTTGGAATTTAGTTTGAGAATGCTCTAGCCCAATATTTTAAAGATACTCTTCTATGTTTTATTTTTCCTTTAATTATTTACTTTATTTGAATCTTACTGTTGTTACAGTGTAAGGGGTGATTTGATTCTACTGATTTTGCCAGTGGGTAACCAGTTGTCTTTACTTAAAAAAATAAATTATTTAAAAGGCAGAGAGAGTGAGAGCAAGAGAGTATTTTCATTCCCTGAGTCACTGTCCATTGCAATAATCAAAGCTGGGCTACGATGAATCCGGGAGCCTGGGACTGACTCATTTTGGGTCTCCCACAGGAGTGTCAAGAGCCAAGTCCTCAAGCCACCCCTTCTGCCTCCCAGGGTGCATATTCACAGGAAGATGGAATAAGAAGTGGAGCTGGGACTTGACTTCTTGCACTCTAAGAGGGGTGCTGGTGGCAGAAGCAGTGTCTTCGGCACCATTCCAGACACTGACCCTCCTGACATTTATGAAGTAATTTACTTTTATCAGCACTAGCTGCCCTATTATCAAACACGTGGCTGTGTAACAGATATCAAAACCTATTTAAGAATCTATATAAAGTATTTTTCTGTTGTAGTCCTGGGTTTCTCTACATCATTTAATAATAAATGTTTTTAGTGCTCTACACATATATATTTTCATTTTTACTTGTACATTCATTTCCAAATACCTTCCACCTCCAACTTCTTTTGTAGTAAGTTAGGGAGGACCACAAAACTTTTGATTAGTTTGAACTGAATACACACATGGAACTGAGGAAATTAACATCCTTGTTTGTAATGTTGAGGTTTCTGCTCATGTCACTTGTTGCTCCATTTTTCTGGCACTTGATGGCTTTCCAATAGATTAGATTGTTTTCTCCGCAGTCTTTGCTGGTTACATGTTACGTTAATTCCTAGGTACTACTGGTGAGTTTGTGTTACTTCTAACAAGGCCTTCTGTAGTATTACTTGATGTATAGGAAAATTACTGATTTTCATAGGGTGTACTTCAAGTTGTAATCATTTGTGGATTTTTTAGGTAGTTGGCCATATCTTTAGCTGCCAGTATCAGTTTTGCCTGTTTTCAACTTTCGAGCTTATTCTATCTCTAGCTTCTATTGTATTGGCAGGAACTTAAACAGTGTTATATACTGGAGGTGACAGCAGGGGTCAGGTTGTGTCTTGGATGATCAAGTTCCTGAATAAAAATATTGGCTCTTGGCCTCTGGGAGATAGCAGTTATCAAGCAGAATGCTTTCCATTTTTAGATTGCGAAAAGTGTGTTCTTTAGAAGGCAGGGACATGAATTGTTATTTCAACACGCAATTTTTTTTTAAGTTCCCTCAAAAATGTCCTGACCTCACTGACAGATTTTTGGTAATGCTTAACCAGCTCTTTACTAGCAGGATAAATCTGATGTGTAAAATGATGTTCAGTTCTTTTATTAGATTGTATTTGTTTTTTACATTTTTGCATCCATATTCAAATAAGTAGGATTGGCCAATATATTTGTCCTATCTGGTGCTAAGCCTTTCTTGTCTGTTTAAATCATGGTTCCATTAAATCTTCTGTGTATTAGTGTTTAAATGTTGCTTTGGTCAAGACTTGGTGGGCCCTAATAGTTGGAGAACTCATTCCTTTCATTCAGTTCTTAGTAATGAGTACTGTGTGTGATGTTCTAATACGTGCCTAACTTGCTGCCCGGTATTTCTTTTCTTTTCTTTTTTTTTTTTTTTTGACGGGCAGAGTGGACAGTGAGAGAGAGAGACAGAGAGAAAGGTATTCCTTTACTGTTAGTTCACCCTCCAATGGCCGCCGCACCGCGCTGATCCAAAGGCAGGAGCCAGGTGCTTCTCCTGGTCTCCCATGGGGTGCAGGGCCCAAGCACTTGGGCCATCCTCCACTGCACTCCCTGGCCACAGCAGAGAGCTGGCCTGGAAGAGGGGCAACCGGGACAGAATCCGGCGCCCCAACCGGGACTAGAACCTGGTGTGCCGGTGCCACAAGGCGGAGGATTAGCCTAGTGAGCTGTGGCGCCGGCCTACTGCCTGGTATTTCACATGTAACACCCTAATCCTCACAAGTAACCCTGTGATGTGGGTACTGTTATTAAGCATGTTCAGGTGTAGTAACTGGACAGATCAGCACATACCATGTGTTCACTAAGCTTTTCATCTTTATTCCTTTCTAAGGCTCAATGTTCAGTAGTCCATGAGTCAAGCTGTGCAGTTTGAAATGCCTACTTTTGGAAAAATACATGTAATACATTTTTTTTATTTGACAGGTAGAGTTATAGACAGTGACAGAGAGAGAGAAAGGTCTTCCTTCCGTTGGTTCACTCCCCAAATGGCTGGTATGGCCGGAGCTACACCAATCGGAAGCCAGGAGCCAGGTGCCTCCTCCTGGTCTCCCATGCAGGGGCCCAAGCACTTGGGCCATCCTCCACTGCCCTCCTGGGCCACAGCAGAGAGCTGGCCTGGAAGAGGAGCAACCGGGACAGAATCTGGCACCCCTATGGGATGCCGGTGCCGCAGGTGGAGGATTTACCAAGTGAGCCATGGCACCGGCTCTGAAAAAATACATATTTTATGCTTTTTACTAAACACATGAACACTTCTGTTCGATTTCAGTTTCCTTCCTGATATATTTAAGTAGTCCCAAGCTTTTTATTCACAATTATTTTCATATAAAATTCTGAAAGAACTTTTAAAAGTAGACATCACCATACCTTAGTAAATTAACATTTCTGAAATTGTTTTAGTGTAATCATAGATTTTTTTTCCTTCCTGAAGTTACTATTTTCATTAGCATGTTTTGCTGCTTGAATTTTAGTATCTCTTCCTTTGCCAATTTAATTGTAGTTCTCTGCCCCCCCCCCCTTTTTTTAAGAACTGATTTGAAAGGCAGAGTTTATAGAGATACATAGATACAGTTTCCATCCACTGGTTCACTCCCCAAATGGTTGCAATGGCCAGGGCTGGGCACCAAGAGCTTTATCCAGGTCTCCATGCGGATGCAGGGGCCCAAGTACGTGAGCCATCTTCTGCCGCTGTCCCAGGAACGTGGGGAGCTGGATCGGAAGTGGAGCAAACAAGACTCCAAATGGCACCCATCTGGGATGCTGGTGGCACAGCCAGGTGGCTTTACCTGCTACACCACCGAGGCGGCCGCTGTTTATGATTTTAATTAGTATCTGTGGGCTGAGATGGAGATGGTCTCCAAGAGAGTGACTTCCAAATTATGTGTTCAGTGAGGGAGCACTCACAGGAAACAGCACTAGCAAGGGCAAGGTGGCATGGGATGTACTTGAGAGCTACAGATGTAAACCTAGACTGGATTATACAGGATATGCAAAGTGTACTTTAAGGCTCGAAAGTGCCAGTGAGACTTAGAGGCCAGCTGGATGTGGAGGTGAACAGGATTCCAAAGGGACTCTGGCGTGTTTCTGGTTGGTACAACTAAGTAGTTGTAAGGCATCGGGAAGAAACGTTTAGAGGGACAAAAAGCAGGTCAAACTAAGGAATTGTGGTTCGGCGTGTTGCACTAGGATTGCAGCAATTGTTCACAAATGTGTTAAGATTGCTTTTGAGTAATGTGGAAAAATAATTTCTATGCAATCAATGTATTCCCCGTGGGTGGCAGATAAGTTAATTAACACATTTCTGCAGGTGGTTTTTCATCAGGCCACTGGTCTTTGGAGGACTGTGCCCTTTGTGGGTGTGGGCCTGAGAGCAAGCTGCACTTGACTCATTCTAGAGGTGGCATAATCAGTAAGCGGCATTCACTGGTGGTGGTGCATGACTGACTTCAGCAGAGAATTCCTCAGAGTGTTAACAGAACAGCAGCCATAGAATTGTGCCGGGACTGGCACTGGTAGCAGCTGATACAAACGAGTGAGGGAAAAAGCTACAAGCAGCCCCGTAACTTGATGCTGCAACTACGTACTGATTCATAGCCACTACCTTGTCGTAGGACGCTGTGCCACTTTTGCAGGGATCGATTTTAAAGTGATGCTTCAAGTGTAATACTTTTTCGAAAAAGTATTTATTTCCATTGTGTTTGAAAGGCAGAGAGAGAAAAATAGACACATCTCCCATTTGCTGGTTCACTCACAGCAGGCAGGTCTGAGCCCAGACCCTGAAACTCTGTCTGGGTCTCCTATGTGGGTGACAGGGACCCAAGTACTTGAACCATGCAGCGTCCAAGAAGCATCTTAACCACTGAGCCAAACACCCTCCCTTATAATGTTTTTCTATTTAATTTTTATCCTAATTAAGACTCAGGCCATCATTTTGGAATAGTCACTCTTGCTAAGCAGATAATAGCATGGCCTACTTCAAGAAGAGGAGGGCATTCTCACTTGAGGTGAAGTCTGTGTGCACTTCGAGGAAGTAGTTGGTAATTTACTGAGCATAAAGTATGCACTGAGAATTTGCTGAGGGAGCTGTCTCTGACCTGAGGTAGAAATAAGGATGTATAATGTGGTTTGTAGTGGCTTAAGGTTCTAAATGAGCCAGGCTAACACATCTGACTACAAATTTCTGTCCTCCATAAGGTGTTTTCCTTCTTACTGGACCCCCAGCCCCTCTGTACTCTAACATCACTCTGAGATCAAGAACAAGCTATTTGTTCTCTGTGAAGGTCCATGTTCTTTACCTTTGAATCCCAAAAGGTAGTACTGTAAAACTTAAAACACATCCTTAGCTTTAAAGACTGTCATTAATAAGAGTAACTTTACCCTACATACCAACTCAATCCTATGTTTAAAAGGTTCTTTTCCTAACATGTGGTTGTCAAAATTCAATATAAAGATTTAAAATTAATGGAACTGCTTAATTAAAGAGTTATGTTAAAGTGTTATAACTAATTAATTTATACTTAACCTCAAGAAGCATCTAAGTCTACTTTTGTAGGCCTAAGATATACCTACTTTAGGTGAACCTAAAGGCTTGGAAGATTTTGACAGATTACAATAGAAACAGAAGCAGAACACTTGGACATTTTCATAATAACATGGAACTGTCACAAGCTGAGAGAGGATGAGTCTGAAAATTCTTTCTTTATTATAGCGAATCAACAGGAAACATGTCTGAATGGGAAAAACAGCACAGAGATACCTACTCGTCATGAACGATGGTGGGGCCATCCCTCGTTAAGGCCTCTTCCTTGATGACATTGATCAGTTCAAAGGTACTGCTTATGGGGGCATCTGGGTTCGGCCATTTGGGACACTGAAAGTGCCGAACTTCGAGGACGTAGTCATCCTAGAACCAACACAACGTGCGTCACAGCCTATCCTCTGTTTCATGTAGGATTTCTCAGGCGCAGGCTGTTCCAGGGAACTCTGAGCAAAGTTAGGTTAACCACATGGTAGCTAATAGGAATGAAAATACTCAGGAGTAGCAGGTGATGGTAATGAAACAGTAAAATGTTTTGTTTAGGCCAAAATCTCAACTGACAGTAACCTGTGAGACTTTACCTTGAGGGGTAACAAGACAGAGTAGGATATAAAGAAAAAACAAGGAAGGGTTTGAGGATCATCATTTAAATTACTAATGCAAGGGGGTCCTCTCTCTTACATATCCCACAGGAAGCTAGTTGCAATGCATCAAAATATTTACAGCAAAAAACCTAATATCTCTGCAGCGCATTTCAAGGCTTGCATTTCTGATGGCAAGAAAATATTGAGCTCTAGTATATTGTTTTTATAATTAGGTCAGCAGACCTATTGGTATGCATGCTGTATTGGAGGAACTGTTACATTTCATCTAGCCAGCTGGAAAAAGCAAATATTTGAAGGGAGAAAAAAAAGGGAAATGTATGTATTTCAAATTAAGTCTCACTCAAGTGCTTGGGCCTGTCTGGAGGGTGGTACATTACTCTATTATTACTTAGAAGGAAGGTCCAGGGTCCGAGTCTGCCTATTAGGTAGGCCCTGAGGTTCGGGTTACCTGTGTAGCTTCGAGGATGAAGTCATGGATGATAATTTGCTCTTCATTAGAGAGGCACAGTCTGTCTTTGCTGATAAGGGTGACGGTAAAGGCCTCACAGTTCATGGATTCCTCTCGACTTGGCCAGTACACAAACTCATCTTCTGCCTTTGGGAACCAAGGAAGAAAAAAATCACTTTGCAGTGTGGTGGAAGACTTGTTTTAAATTTTCTTGCAGAATGATTTCTCAAGTTTAAAAGATAATTTGAGGGTGATGGTTAAGTTGTGAGAGATAGGTTTATATCCTCATGTAATCATGCGGAGGTGGATGGTTATTGTGTCCTTTTTAAAAATGCATTTTGATAATAACCATTTCTTAGCATCTCTCAACTGTCACTCTTAACAACCCCTCTAAGGGCTGTTATACTCCAGTGGAGAAGTATTCTGGTTTTTCTAAGTCAGTGATTCTGCAAGACATCAGTCCATAGCTGGTGCCTAAGCAGCCAAGACGTGCTAATGGTGGTTTCATATGCTTATGTAAACAATTACACAGCTGAGTAACATTTTGCAAAGGATTGTCATAAATGTAGCCATCTTATTTAATTTTTATAATAGCCTAGTGAGGTACGGGATTGCTTTTAAAATTAATTTTTATTATGTACATTACAGATATAGAAGATGATATTTTAGGATACCTCTAGATATTGAAAAGTTACTATTGTGAGGCAAATTAATATTTCTAACAATACATAGGTATTCATTTGCGTGTCAGAGTATTCAGCGTGATTTTTAAATGCTGTGCATTAGCTATCTAGATTTCTATGTCATACACATGTGCTGCCTCGTATCCTTTGACCAACATGTCCTGCTCTCCTCCCCATTCCCTGCTGTTGGTAGCCACCGCTTTGGACTCCAGCTTTGTAAGGTCATTAGCTTGTACATGTAAGGGACAGCATCAGTGTTTTTCTTTGTCGGGCTTATTTTTTATTTACTATCATGCCCTTCAGTCTCACATTGTGACAAGTGGCAAGATCTCTTTTTGTAGGGTTGAATAATTTTTTTCTTACTGTGGTTCTCCATCCACAGACATGATGTTCTTTCCATATCTTGATGATTGTGAAAAATGCTACAATGAATAGGGGAGGGCAGGAGTGCTCCTCAGAGGGGCTGCTAGTGCATGTATTAAGCTATATCTTTCTTTAAAAAACTGTTTAAAACCTTCCTTTTCCATAGTGGCTGTACCAGTCTACAGTCCCACCAACAGTGTCCAAGAGTTCCCCCCTTCCCTGTCTCTACCCTCATCAGCGTTGCTTCTCCTTTGACTCTTGGCAAATAGTTAATCTAGTAGGAGTGTACTGAGTCCCTTTTCATATACCTTTCAGTCATCTGGTCTTTGGCTGGGCAGGGATGAGGACATCAAGGCTCACAGAAGTCCACAAACTGTCTAAAATCACCCATCTAATGGTAAGGGACAGAACCTTTTCGGAAAGCAGTTGTGCGTAAATAAGATTGTTGGCCCTACGTGGAAGGCACGCTTTCAAAGCCAAGTTAATCTGTCAACGTTACATTTCCTAACAGAGTCTTTCAGCCTTGAATGCGGCAAGCTCTACATGTTCATCCATGTTAAGATTAAAAATAGACATTCAGGCTAGGGACTTGAATCCTATCCCTGCAAACTCTGCATGTTCAAGAAAAAGTTAATTGTCGCATACACCAGAGTTGGTGAGCAACACAAACACACACCCATCCCCACCCCCCTTTCAAATCAGCTGGAATGATACACTAGAGTTATTTGCCTGTTGTATGTAGATTTTTATGGGCAGTTTCCTGAAAATGCCTAGTTACTCTCCTAGAAGTCAAAAATAATTCTGAATAATGTTCAAAACAAAGAAGGCTTTGTTTAATCTTGCATTGTTGCATCAGAAATGAGCCAGCAGTCCAATAAGACTTATCACCCTTTCAAGTTTCAATATAACTTATTGCCAAGTACATTTTTATTTTTAAAGCTCAGCATAAGGGGAAACAGATTAGCAATTGGGTTTAGTCTATACAAAAGAAGTCTGTAACTGTCGTGGGTTTTAATATGTTTGCCCAAGGAAATGCAAGTACGGCCCTCCCAACCGGTATTAAAGACACAAGGTGATGACGGACAGGGTAGCTAAGTGTAACCAGTATGTATACAGATTAAGCATAAGGTTTGGATCAGCTGTGAACCTGCATACATTTTATCTGAACCTTACTATCCATAGTGGAATAATGAGAACAATTTAAGATGAATTGTAATGCATTTAATAGGAAACTAGCTTAAAGGCTACCAAAGGAATTTTAAATACAGTTGAAGACAGAGAAACATTAAAAAGATTAAATCAGCAGGTGCTCTGGTCTCGGGGAGAGGTAACGGTGCTTTCTAAGAATGAGTGACTTTGGGGTTACGCACGGAACTGTGGTCTTGTAAAGTGATAGCTGTAGATTTTTTTGCATTGTTGCCTATTACTAGCAGCCTCTTTGGGAAAACCTGCCATGATCCATCCCAGGACACAGGCCATGCCAGGCTCTGGGACTGGTGTTAGCGTCCTGGCAATCTGTAGCACGTTCCAGCCACTCTCCCCCTAGCCTCCCTAGGCCAGGGTGCTCCTGGGTGGAGGTGCCATGGTGAGTGGCAATAACAAAATACTGACTCATCCAACAAATGAACGTTTTCACAACCCTAAATGCCTCCAATTTCCACATGCCAAACAGAATAGACCCCAGTTGCCAGCTAATTTGAAAATTTACACTCCAGCTTTGAGCTTAAGATTCTCAACTTTGTTGCCATTCCATCATACAGAAGCAGCCTCGGTATTCTGAAGCTGGAGCAGAATGCGGCGGCAACGTGAAGTTCCCACTGACTGGGCACGCAGTCAAATGCATGTCATCAAGACTAGGGTTCAATCACAGGCTGTTCTTTCTTGATTAAAAAACTCATTAATCCCACACTGGTGAAGGCAGACCCTCTGTGGGTTTCGTTTTTGCCTCCGTGGGCTCACATGTCCATGTAGTACCTTCGGCTACTTCTGCAAGTCAAGTACGCATGAGATGAGAGCGCAGGCACTCACCCACCCTTTGCTTGTGTTGTTTCGAGAAAGGAACCTCACTACCACTTCGCCCTCTCAGTCTGACAGCAGCCCTCAAGCTGGAACCCAGTAGCCTTTCCTTATTAGGCAGACTCTAATAAGATGTTATCCGTCCTGCTGGGACAGTATTCTTTTGGGTGGCGGAGAAGAGCTTTTGGCAACCTCCTACCACACGAGCACATGTAGTACCATTGGAGGGTGCTATGCCTGGCCTCAGAGACTCCAGTCCCAGCATGGAGACGGACAGAACCTTGAGAGGATGCGAGGAGTTCCCCTTGCTAGCAGTATGTAGACACCACAGCCCTGTGGCAAGGTAGCACAGTAATTTATGCTTGTAGCCGCCTGGGCTCATTAATATATAGCAGATGTGCTTTACTTACCAAGCTCTGGTTGTCTGGCAGCATGACAATGATCTGTGCATTATGATCCCAAATCATCCGCCAGAAATCTTTCGTAGTGTGTGGCAGAGGATGCTGGGTTATAATAAATTCATTGCTCCTATAATAGCCCTTTAGTGGGAAAACCAAAGAATCAGTTATTATGACTGCTTCATTCTGACTTTGGGGGTAACAAAATGCACCCATGAAATCAGCATCCTTGTGACCACATTACAGTAATTGGGAGAAGCACTCAGTACTTTTGGCTACTGTTCAGAAGTGCTTCTGCTGCCACTGTGCAGACAATTTTTCTCTCCCCGTGCGGTTTACTTCCGTATACCCCTGCTGTTTTTACTTAACAGTCATTTCAACAGTTAGGCAAAGACTAGATGGGTGAAATAAAGAATAACAGTAATTCCTTAAGAAGCATTTTGCTTCTTTTTCTGTACCCCACTGATCGGGAAGCTTTGGTTACAACTTTCAAGATACAGAAATCTCGATACTTCCGCTATTACCCATCGAGAAATGAGTTCGCAAATGCAGCCGTTCACTAGGTGGTATCTGCTCTTTAGCACCTTTCAGTTTAATTGAATTTATTTGTAATTAGCTGCTGACTCTCACCATGATGTAAGAAGCATTAATGTAATCTGTTCCTTTCATTCCAGGCAACGGTGCAAGACCCACTCGAGCACGCTCCGCTATCACAGGAAAAACAAAATCACCACGTTAGCCTTATCACACACGACAACCGGCGGCTCTTTCTGAGATGGACTTGGGGAAGAGGATGGTCCACTGGCTCCCCCTGCGGCGGCTGGGCTGGTCATACTTCAGTTGCTTTCAGATTCCAGGTAAGGCAGAAGGTAAAAGCAGATTCTGCTGCACATCCCCAGGAGGACACAGGTATTTCAGAAGTGCAGTTTTTACTGCGGGAGGGTTTTCCCTAAGAGTATACCTATACTGCATCGTTAGGACAGACTGGGCGTCCGATCACATCGGACCCTAATTTGATACCATTGCAGTTATACCAACTTAGGACACAGTATTCTTTTTCCAACCCCCATCCCTAGCTTTCTTCCTTGGAAGGGCTTAGGACACAGTGGTGTTTTCCAGTGGAGCTAAATCTCTCCAATGATCAGCCACGCCTGTGTCTACCCTGTGTCCAGTTTATATATGCAATCAGCAGTGCCTTGGTTTCATTCAATAGCAAATAGAGCGAGCCACTTAGTTTAAGACAATTTGCTGAAATCGGGACCACCAAGAACATGTTCCCTTTGGTCATAGCTGCCTCTTCACCCGACACATGACATCTAATAGATTTTAAGGTCTTACATGGCACGACTGACGAGTTTCTGTTCTTTTCTTTGTTACACTCTTTCTGAGCACTGAAGCATTCCACATATTTTGCATTACACTGTGTGACCAGCTGCAAGAAAAGCAACAGGTCAGTCTTCATTCACAGGCACACCTGAGCACAGCTGCTTGACAATTGTGGCAAAAATACCAATAATCAGATTATTGATGAACAAGAACGTTTTCTGTGTCGCTGCTGGTTGACTCCCCGGATGTTCACAGTGGCCGAAGCCAGGAGCGTCCCAAGCACTTGGGCCATCTTACATTGCTTTCCCAGGCCATTAGAGGGAGCTGGATAGGAAGAGGAGGACACAAACTGACCCACCCCTTGGGGTGGAGGCACCTGACATAATGAGGTGTTGGGCAACAGTCTCTGACCAAGGTTTCAGTACCACTGCTATGGACCCTGGATGTAGTTTCCTTTGTCTCTTCTTACTTGAATTCTAAAATGATTATCCCTGTAAAAACACCCATTCCCTGGTTTCTTTGATCAATTTTCTATTTCAAAGTGGTTGTACCTCTCTCATCCCACGTGTCTGGGACAAAGTTTCTGTGACCCGAGTCTAATCAAGAAAATCATTTATGTTTCACATGACACATAGCCAAAAGGTAGTAACTTCACACAAGACTCTCAGGGGCTGGTACTACAGTGTAGCAGGTTAAGTCACCACCTGTGATGCCAGCCTCCCATATAGGTGCCAGTTTGAATCCCGGTTGCTGAAAGCAGTGGAGGATGGCCCAGGAGTTTGGGTCCCTGCACCCAACACAGGAGACCTGGAAGAAGCTCCTGGCTCCCAGCTTCAGTCTTCCACAGCTGTTTTGGGCATTTGTGCCGTGAACCAGCAGATGGAAGATGCTCTCTGTAACTCTGCCTTAAGTCTTTAAAAATAATTTCCACAGGTGCTATAGTACAGCTTTGACTTTTGCGGCATTTTGGCTTTGGGAATTAAGCTTGTTTCACACAAATGGAAAAGGCAGACTGACTATTTTGTAAGACCTCTTTTGAAACATGTAAAGTGATACCCTGTGTTCTCACTGTTAATTACCTCAGATTATTTGGCAGTAGTTTGTATACTCTGTGGAGACACTGGAACCTCAGTGTAAGCAATGAGACTGCCTGGCAAAGTGTTAACCACAAAAACTAGGACTGCACAGACTCATCCTGTTCTTTCTACCTTAACACAAAATGAGCAAGTCCATATAGAATATTATACAAAAAACCTGATTTTAACACTGAGAAACTAAGACATTGGAAAACACTTAGTAATGGACAAAGATCTAAATTACTATGAAACCGTGTTTATAGCTCCTCTCTTGTATCTTCACTCAAGTGCATTTCATATAAACCTTAGTTGCACTTTAACGTCTTCATCAAAGGAAACGACCAACAATGAAGGAGAAAACTTTTCTCCAGCGTTACCTTCTGGAATAATTTTCCAGGGATATTTTCAGGCCAACATGTCTATAAATAGCTGCTCTTGATGAAGACCTGTAGCCAGCAGTTGATGTACTACATTCTTTAGAAAATGCAGCACAATACTGTCGACCTCAACACCAAAACTGCTCACTGACAAAGGTCACACTTTTATTTTCCTACGCATCATAGTAAGGAATACAACAAATAATCCATTTTAGTGCACAGGTGAATGCAAAGAACACATGACCCCCACACTCCTTGCTCCTGTGTAAAGATTTTTAGTTGGAGTGCTACTACCTTAAATTGCTTTTCCAGTCGAGTCTTTCCTCCCACTCCAGGTATCAGGATGCTGTTCACATAGCTATGCAACTGACTTGAAGATACTTCAGTCTCCTTTCCCAGAATGGCTTCCAACAAGGCATCATGAATGAAAATGTACTGCTCCTAAAAGGTACAATCTCTGCTAGTCACGGAGGAGGGCTCCGAAGGGGTGGCCACCCATTCACGAAGGCAACCTTAACAGGGAATTCCTTCAGGCATTTATGGGGATGTTATTTTCTCCTATCCTTGCTTCTCCATTGTTATTTTAGGGTACAGACCATTTTAAGTGTAGCTCTGGCTGTCATACTGGGCCTGGAACTTCCCATAGGTTCAGTGAAGGGCTTTATCGTTACCTGAACTAGCTGTTGATGTAACTGTCTGCTTCCAAAGGGCACTTGTGGTCACTGAGAAACCCAAATATTAAGATCTGCATAGAAATGGGAGACTGCTCCTCAGAGTAGACCATGGTCAGCATACCTGCTGCTCACAATCTATGAGAATACATCTGTCTCCGCAGTATTGTTCAACTCTCAGTCCCAGGGCGTGCTGGCATCCCAGGAGGGCCCTGCCGGAGACTGCTTACCTCTGTCTGGACGAGGTAGTTGCGCTGTGTCCTGATATGCTTCAGGAACCCCAGGACGTTCACTGTGCTTTTGTCTTTGATCTGTTGCAGCATGCTGTCTATTACAATGTAGGTGCCTGTCCTGCCCACACCAGCACTGTAAGAAATGAGGATACCATACTTGTTAACCATAGATTAGAAAACTTATAGAAGTAACCCTGCTGTTTAATTATTCATATGGGCAGCACTGGGAAAATCCTGGGATTGTTGCCATCTTAGGAGGAGACAGATGTATTGCATAGAAACAGAGGTGAAGGAAACCCATGTGCTTGCCTCCTCAGCCTCCCTTGCAGCTCAAGCAGACACCACCTTCCTTTGAGGTTGAGGCAGAGGCCTGAAACCAACTCATGGATGGGAGAACAGACAAGTGTCTGGCACAGGAGCTGGGATCTCGACACCAGAACCAGATCTGCTGAGGCTTCCTGGGGGGAGTTTCTCCTTGTTCTTGACACTTGTAACTTGGTTCTCTTCCTCTCCCAGTAATTGACTCTGCTAGCAGCCATTATCCTTTCAATAAACCCATTTTTGCACAACTCTCCAAGTCTGCTGCTTAGACTAATACACGCAGTAAGTTCCTGTCTGAAGGGATGTTTATCTAGGGATAGAACAATCAGTATTCCTTAGTTGTTTAAAGAACACCCACTGGAAAGTTTCTCTGGGCAGATCCCCATCCAGCAGGAATTTGTTTACGCTGCACTGTTCAATAGGCTTCAATGTCTATTTTAGTGTCCTATATGAATTATTAGCAAGAAAGTAGTTAGGAGAACTTTGGCAATGGACTTCCTCTATAGCAGCATCCTCAGGAGAACAGGTCAAAAGATATGCTTAGAAAATGCCATGCAGCAATGCCACCTACATCAGAGTAACTAGCATCCCTTACTGGCATACTGAAGTTTAAAAACAAAGTCAGGAATGCACCTGCAATGGAAACACAATGAAAGCAATTTTAAGCAGCCACCTAAAGGTGTCAAAGTTACACGAGAAAACCGGCTTCAGAAACCAGACTTTTCCGGTGCTTTTCATACAGCACATCTCAACTACAGTAAAATCCTTTCATCTAGAGTACAGCTGTTATCTAGAGGCATCCTTCAGAAAAGCCATTCACAGAGACTCAGACTCTACCTGCTGTGGAAAGCTTTATTTATTAGGTTCAACCTACAATTTCTTTATAAGCAATGGGCATTTTAGTAATCCAGATGATTGCAAAAAGGCAGGAAACATATCTGGTTGGGATGTTTAAGAAGACTGCGTTGGGAATACAGTTATTTTAAGACTATGTAACTGGGCCGCTGCTCAGTTGGCTGATGCTCCGCCTGCGGTACCGGCACCCCGGGATCTAGTCCCGGTTGGGGCGCCAGATTCTGTCCCTGTCGCCCCTCTTCCATGCCAGCTCTCTGCTGTGGCCCACGAGGGCAGTGGAGGAAGCACTGGGTTCCTGCCTTCAGATTGGCGCAGCACGCTGGTCATGGCCATTTGGGGGTTGAACCAACGGGGGAAAAAAAAAGGAAGACCTTTCTCTCTGTCTCTCTCTCTTGCTGTTTAAATCGGCCTGTGTATGTAACAGGCCTCACGGATCCCAAGTCAAAGCAGGGGCAGACTCCCTGTGGTCTAAGTTCTCAAGGCCTTATGCCTTGGTCTACCCCTTTCATCAAACAGAGCAGTGGCACCGTCACTGTGACTCAGGATCATCTCTGCCCAGCGGCTGACCCCCAGGCACGAGGAGGGGGGAGGTGACAGCCCTACCTGCAGTGTACCAGCACTGGCCCCATGTCTGGCATCCGGGCTGCCGAGGACCTCCTCACGAAAGTCAGAACCGGGAGGGCATACTCAGGAACGCCCATGTCAGGCCACTGCGTGTAGTGATACTGGATCACCACCCTTTCGTTCTGACGCCCCTTGGGATTTCCCTTCTGACCCTAGGACACAGGAGAAGAAAAAAGTTAATGACATCAGGCAACATCAATTCCGATCTCACTCCCTCTCATCACTGATTCCTGAGCTAACCTGTGTCGTCTGGGCAGCCATCACTACCTCTTAGAGAAGACTGCCCAAGACGACCAAGAGAAACATCTCATGCCAGTGTTCTGCTTTAGAACTCTGAGCACTTTGTGGTTTTCCACAAGGGCTCTGTTCGCCGTCTCTGGGGCAGGTCAGTCCTGCAGTGCTGCTTGCTGCATGGTACTCTCCAGGAAGTAACTCCACGATCCTGGAGGACCCTCCCTCTGCAGACGTGGAGGCGATGTCCGACCTAGCTGTCTTCCAGAATGACTTCTGTTTCAGAGTGGTTGTCTTCTAAATGGCCTACCTTTTTGCAGTTTACCTGTTTGGGATGAAAATACGTTTCCCCAAATAGATCCCTTGCAATGATGTTTTCTTAGGTTTTAATATTACAAACTATGAAGAGAATGGGAGAGGGAGGAGGAGGAAGGGTTGCACTGTGGGCAGGAGGGAAGGGATGGTGGAAGGATCACTATGTTCCTAAATCTATTGGTGAAATACATGAACTTATGCATCATACAGAAAACTTACTGTTTTGATGACTCGGGGTCATGAGTCGCCGCGGAAGCTTGAGAGGGCATCTAACCCTGTGCTACCAAGGCCCACTGTGGCTTCAGTTTCTAAATTCTCTTCCGTCTCACGTTTCTTTCTTTTACCTCTTGCCAGTGTGCAAAACACCTGAAGTTCCTACTTTGTTTCTCTCACTTCAGCTGCTTCTGAAAGCAGCGTAGGTAGGTCTTGTTTGAATACCTCACACGTTCCATGGGTACTGGGCTTTCTAGGTTTCACACTACTCATTGCTTAACTTGAACCAGCAGATAGCTACATTCAAGAGAAGATAAATACAGCTCCACTGCTTGTCATCTAGTGCTGCCATCCTTGGCTATAACCACATGTAGGAGGAGGACTGTTAATCCTGGCAGCCTGGCTTCAGAGCCACAAAGACGGTATATACAAATCTGAGCCAATGTGACCTCTGCAAGAGCAAGGGCGCTACAATTTTATCACATTCTCAAAGGTGTGTAAGATGACCCCCCCCCCCCCCAGAAAATGTACATATGTCTTGGGATCCGAGATTACAGACACCAGCTATACCATGCCCATGTAGAATGACTACATTTCTTAATAAGCTTCTACTACTGTGATGGTCTATGATTGCTGTTATGATGGATTTTGACCCAGAGAAATGGAGGAAACTTGCAAGCAGCATTTCCACTAACTGTGATTCTCAGCAAGGTAGTTCTACAGGGAAGGGTTTTACTAAGTCACATCAGAAAACACGAGGCAAAAGCATAGTTTTCTTACTCCAACATTCTAATCCCGTGTACTCATTGGAAATTTCAAAGAAGCCTATCATGTGGCATTCATTTCCCATTCTTACTCGACAGCAGAACCTGCCTTTTAGAAGCTTCTCACAGGACTAGTATTCCTTGGAATACTCTTTGGAAAACAATGCTTTAAAAGCTGTCAGAAAAATTGGAATTAAAAAGTTAAATCAACAGATGCTGCCATATTTGCTGAGTGTTAGCAAACCCAGGGAGGAGGATTTCTTTTGGTTTGTTTTACATGGGGCCTTGTTCATGCAGAGATGAAAGAACTCAATCAGGCCAGTCAGATTCTATTCTGTGCCCTGCCAATACCTTTCACACCATGCATCGATGTCAATCAAAAGAGTTGTGAAGAAATGTTGTAAAAATACTTTTTAAAAACCAAGTTGGTTCTGAGACTTGGCCTTGGTTGTGCAGTCATTTTCACTGCAGTATAACAAGAGATGCTCTGGCAGTCCCCCCAGTTCCCTCAGTACCTTTTTCACTTTTGTGTTTCTGATGGAGAAACGACGAACAGTGTAGCAGGCGTGTACTTTTGTGCTCTTCAGGGTGACAATAATGTTTCCATACTCCTCACTGTTCTCTGTTGGCCAGTATTGATCACATTTTCGCTGGAAAATAAAAAAAAAGAGTTGGATACTGTAACTGCAATCTAGGTAGGAATTAAAATTGGAATTAAAAAGCTATAGTATAAACCTGCCCTAAAGACTACTAGTATTCTAAATGTAGGAAGGATATATTATAAATGAAGCTTAAATGTCATGTGGAAGGTTGGGTTGGATTTCTGGGAGGTCACCTGTAACTATGGTAATCTTTGTGTTGCAACTTGGATAAATAGGGATTCCACCAAGTGAAGTAGTAGTGATTTTTGAGCCGTGCACCTGAGACTTAGCACTTACTCCAGCCTAAATCACCATCGTCTAATGGATGCTCACTTATCCAATAAATGCTGGGTCAAAGTAATTGAGCATCTGAACTACTGGTAGTTCCTGGATGGCACATTGCTCGTTTGTGTCTTTTTTTTTTTTAAGTGATTGACTGACTTCTTTGAAATGCAGAGTTACAGAGAGCAACAGACGCACAGACAGATCTTCCACCTGCTGGTTCACTCTCCAATGGCTGTAATGGCTAGGACTCAGCCAAGCCGAAGTCTGGAGCCTGAACGCCATCTGGGTCTCCCACATGGGTGGCAAGAGCCCAAGCACTTGGGCTCTCTTCTGCTGCTTTCCCAGGCACATTGGCAGGGAGCTGGATCACAAGTAGAGCCCCTGGGACTTGAACCGGTGCCCATATGGGATGCCGGCTATACAACAACACCAGCTCCTGTTGCTTCTTTCTACTTCCTTTTTGTTCTTTGAGTTCTCTCTACTTAGAATGTCCTTTCCTTCTCTTTTCAGCTGTGTGACTCATCCTTTTTGTCACTCAAATCTCACTTTAGATATTAGCTCCTTTAGAAAATCTCTGTACTGAAGGGTGCCTTCATTACTGTTGCAGCTTCCCTATTACATTAGTCATCTCTATTATCACACTTAATTCACACTTGTAATCTCTTAGTTTTCTTTCCCACTAGGCCATAGAGAAGTTATTTTTTTTCTTTCTGTAACTCTGTATTGGTCACATTCCTCTCTTACACCAAGTACTCCGTAAGCATTTTGTGAATGATTAAGACATGCTGAAGACAGTAAGCAAGAGGCTCTTACTCTTCCTTTTTCCACAAGGTTTGTAATCATGATAATGATGCCAGTGTTCTGTTCCCAAATCATCCTCCAGAAATCTTCAAATGTAGACTTTAAAGGTCCCTGGGTAGCAATGTAGGCTTTCGCTTTGTTGTAACCCTTCAAGGATGACACAACACAAAGTCAGATGAAAGCACCAGCTTAGAAGACACTGCATCACTTAGCTGCCTTCTGCAATGAATGGGCTATGTTTTCAAAGCTCTGTGCACGACTGAAACATAATCAAGAGTCTTTACTGCAACCTTCAGTTTCCAGAAACAGGTTACTAAAAGCGTTTCTGACTTACATCGACATAGTTGGCGTTAATGTAGTCACTGTGCTTTGAGTCTTTCCCTGGTAGGGGTCTTAACTTCACTCTGCTGTGATCATCTGTAGAGGGGAAGGGAAAAAAATGCACAATCAAAATGTGTGATTCAACAGGCCACAAGCCTTCTAAACACACAAGCAATGAGGTACTGTGGCATCTCCCAGCCCTGAGACAATCTGGGCGGAATACCAAGGAAACGGAGCACTTGAGCTCATGTTAAAACCACAGGGCCACATCTGCCTCATACTCTGGACATACCTGTGAATGTCCACAAAATGCAAAGTAAGGTCCCTTTTAACTCCTGTAAAATAAATTAGGTTGCAATCCCCCTACATTTCATTGTCCTATATTTGGCTTGGTCCAACCAAGTTCAAAGGCCTTTGATTCCTCATGCCCTCATCTCCTCCCCACTACTACAAATGTAATAAGGTAACTGCACTATAAAGTCCAGATCATCTATTTTCCAGAGATTCCTTAAGTACACTCGGTTGGAATCCCTGTCACCCCAAAAGAACCTAAGGAATTGAAGGAACCAGAATTGATTTCATGAATTATCTCACTGCAGCAATCACAAACCGATGATCCAATGTCAGGAACCTCTTACCTTCAGTAAGCAAACAAAATGGTGATGCACAATCTGAGTCTCTGGTTGTACAGCAGAGTGAACCTGCCTTTTGGGCTAGCAAACTAGAAACTGAGGTCATAACTTTATTTTCCCTAGCTAGAAACATAATGGCCAAAAGCCAATATATACTTCAGATTGTTGTCATTATCTTACAAGGCTAGTTCAAAATCAGGCCCAGTGAGGGGATGAGCCTCGACATTAGTGACCTCAGACTTTATCAAGTGCTTCCAGAAAGCCGCCTTTGTGCTTGGAACTGTGAATTGCTTTTGTGCTTGGACAAACTTTCAATCTAGAGCTGACGCGAAGCGGCCTGCCTGATACAAATAGGACTCAAGTGAAAAATCTCTTGTAAGGCATCTGGATACAAACTGCCTTGCCTCAGTAGCCGTCAGTTGTATACTGTTAGACCGACTACATGGGAACATTTACTACAAGGTACTTGCCAAATTCACCATCATTTTAAGAGATGACATGATGATATCCACATATACCCTGAAAACTGTGATGGCTCTGTCAGAGATTTCTCTACATTATGTTTTCTGGCACACTCAGTCTGATTCTACTTTTTTCCCTGACATTTTTTTATTATTATTAGTTACGTAAGAGCATTGATAGAGGAGTAGGTGAAGGTGACACAGGTGATGTGCTCAGAATCCGAGTGCCAACAGACTACTAACACTCAACTCTGACCTTGTAAAAATAAAACTCTCTCATGTGCCCTAGTCACAGTAAAAGCACAAACACACTTGTGAAACCATAAACACATTTAACCAGAGATCATGGCTTTCCAGCACAAAGGCACGATCCTTTGGAGCGTCACCCCGAAATTGCTGCGTTTTGCCCATCGATTCTTTGCCATATCCTCTGAGCCAAGGCAGTAAGAGGTCACTACAAGTACAGATCGGCATGGTCGAGAGAACGGTCAGTGCGGGTACATGCGAGGTAGACACGCATGTATATCCCTGCCTCACAATCCCAGCACAGTGATCAGTGAACACTGCCAGAGTCACTAACTGCAGAGAACAGTAAGGCTGGACTCTGTCTTCCCGCTCTTTATTGAACCTCCCCTTCTTTATTATCTCTAAGCCCCTGCTCGGATTGCCCGCATCCCACACCAGACTGCTGCTTCACATCCCAGCTGCTGTTTCCTTTCCAGCATTCTGCTAATGCATCCTGGGAGGCAACAGATGCTGCTCAAGTGCACAAGCCCCTCCCACCCACGTGGGAGACTCAGATGCGGTTGGGGCCCCTGGCTTTAGCCTGGACCAGCCTTGGCTACTGAAGATACATGGGGAGTGACCCAGTGGGTCGCAGATCCTCTCTCTCAAACTCACTCTCCTGTGTCACTTTGCTTTTCGTTAGATGAAAATAAACAAGATGAAACAATGAGTTCAGTGAAGGTATAGGATACAAGAGCCAATACACAAAAATCTTTTCTATACACTGGCTATGAGCAATCCCAAAATTAAATAAACACTTCCATTTCTAATAGCATCCAAAAGAATACAACACTTTGGAATACACTTCAGAGAAGTACAACACAGGCACCATACACATTATAACCAGTGCTGAGAGCAATCAGAGTATCTAAGTGGGATAATATCAAACCTCATAGATTAGAGGACAATATGAAGATGGCAGTGATCCCCAAATTCATCAGCAGATTCCATGTAATCCCTGCCAGAATCCCAGCCCTGTTGTTTGCAGTAACAGACAAGCTGATTCGAAAATTCATTAGAAGACACCAACGGACCCAGAATAGCCACAACAATCTTTTAGAAAAATACTTGCGTATATTAGCATTTACATATTTATTTGAGAGGAAAAACAGCCAGATGTCTTCCATCTGCTTGTTCATTCCCCAAACGGTTGCAACAGTCAGGTGAGAGCCAGGCCGAAGCCAAGAGCCAGGAACTCCAGCCTGGCCTCCCGTTTAGGTGGCGTGGGCCCAACTACTCAAGTCACCATCCACTACCTTCCCAGGTGCGTTAGCAAGGAGCTGGATTGGAAGTGCAAGAGGCAGAACCTAAACCTTCATATGGGATGCTAGCATCAGAGGAGGCAGCTTAAGTTACCAGTGCCACAATACCAGCCCCGAAAACAATCTTGAAAAAGAGGACTCACTCTCCTCTTTGGAGAACTTGGAATTCTAATTTCAAAACTTACCACAAAGCCTTAGTCACATAATCAAGAAATGTGGAATGTAATATTGACAGTTAGGATAGACATACAAGGGCCTGTGCTGTGGTGTAGCGGGTAAAGCCGTTGCCTGCAGAACCAGCATCCCATATGGGTGCCGGTTCGAGTCCCAGCTGCTCCTCTTCTGAACCATCTCTCTCGTGGCCCGGGGAAGCAATGGAAGATGGCCCCAGTCCTTGGGCCCCTGAACCTGCACGGGAGACCCGGAGGAAACTCCTGACTCCTGGCTTCAGATCGGCGCAGCTCCGGCCACTGTGGCCATTTGGGGAGTGAAGCAGCGGATGGAAGACACCCCCCACCCCGCCTCTCCTTCTCTCTGTGTGTAACTCTTTCAAATAAATAAATCAATCTTAAAAAAAAAAAAAAAAGGATAGGCATATAGATGAACAGAATTGAGCATTCAGAAATATCCTATTAACTTATAGTCAGCTCATTTTCTTTTTTTTTCTCTTTTTTTTTTTTTTTTTTGACAGGCAGAGTGGACAGTGAGAGAGAGAGACAGAGAGAAAGGTCTTCTTTTTCTGTTGGTTCACCCTCCAATGGCTGCCGCAGCTGGCACGCTGCAGCCGGCGCACTGCGCTGATCCGATGGCAGGAGCCAGGTGCTTTTCCTGGTCTCCCCATGGGGTGCAGGGCCCAAGCACTTGGGCCATCCTCCACTGCACTCCCTGGCCACAGCAGAGAACTGGCCTGGAAGAGGGGCAACCGGGACAGAATCCGATGCCCCGACCGGGACTAGAACCCGGTGTGCCGGCGCCACAAGGTGGAGGATTAGCCTAGTGAGCCGCGGTGCCGGCCAGCTCATTTTCAATAAGGGTGCTAAGACCATTCAATGGAGAAAGAGTCTTTTCAACACAGAGCGCTGGAACAGTTGGATACCCACATACAGAAGAATGAAGCTGGACTCCTACCTCACACTGTCTATAGAAATTAGCCTACAACGGATCAAAGACCTAAATGTACAAGCTAAAAGCATAAAACTCTTAGATAAAAACATACGTGTAAATCTCCATGATTTGGAATGAGCAGTGATTTCTTACATGTGACACTACGAGCACAGGCAAAGAAAGGAAAAATAGATGAACCACATTTCACCAAAATGTTACAATCTGGACTTTAAAAGACACCATTAAGGGAAAAGACAGTGCACGGAATGGAAGAAAATATTAGCTAACTCTGTATCTGACAGGAGATCTGTTTATCGAATATATAAAGAACTCTTACAATCCAGCAATAACAACAATCCAGTTTAAGAAATGCGTAATGTATCTGAATACACATTTCTCCAAAATAAAACATACAAATGCCCAGTGAGCACATGAAAAGACAGATGATCGGCATCATTGTCCATTAGGGAAATGCAAGTCAAAACAAATAATCACATCCATTAGGATGTTATCACTGAGATGAAACAAAAACAGAAGGAAAAAAACAAATATTGGGGGGATAGAGAGACATCGGACTGCTCGTATTTTGCTGCTACAAAGGTAAAATGGTACAGTCAGTTTAAAAAACAGCTTGGAAGTTCCTCAAGAATACTAAACACAGTTACCACATAATCTAGCAATTGTACTCCCATGTATATACTCAAAAGAGTTGCAACTATGTCTACATAAAGCCTTATACACAACTATTCAAAGCAGTGTTATTCATAATAGCCAAAATTTGAAAAACAGAATTATCTATCAAACTGTGAATGCATCAACAAAATAGGCCATTATCCATTTCATGCAGTAGTTAATGCAGTCGTAAAAAGGAATATGGTGCAATATGGAAGAATCTTAGAAATGTTGTGCCAAGTCAGCCACGCAGGGCCACACATTGCATGTTTCCGTTTATATGAAATGTCCACTTTATACAGATCCCTAGAGACGGAAAGATCAGTGGTGTGAGCAGATGCACATAGGTGCTTCGGCTTTACTATAAGCATAGGCTTTCCTGCTGGGTTGCAAAAAATGTTCCAAAACTGGAGTTTGCTGATGACTGCACCCTACACAAAATTACACTAAAACCCACTGAACTGTACACTTCAAAAGGATGAATTTTAGGTGGTATATACATTTTATCTTATTACAGCTATTAAAAAAAACTTTATAATACTGTTTAAATTTTAAGTGGCTCAATGTAAACACACTATTATATAATTTCTATGTAATGTCATCCTAATCACAGTGTATGTTAACCATAATCATCTGTTCCCCTGATTTTAATGTCCATGATTTCAGGACCGCTGCTATGGCACAGCAGATTAATTCTCCGCCTGCAGTGCCGGCATGCCATATGGGCACTGGTTCGAATCCTAGCTGCTCCTCTTCTGCTGCTCCTCTCTGACATGGCCTGGGAAAGCAGGGGAAGATGGCCCAAGTGCTTGGGCCCCTGCACCCACGTGGGAGACCCAGAAGAAGCTTCTGGTTCCTGGCTTTGGATCAGCTCTGCTCTGGCCATTGCGGTCATCTGGGGGATTGAACCGGTGCATGGAAAACCTTTCTGTCTTTTCCTAACACTGTCTTTAACTCTGCCTCTCAAATAAATAAAGTCTTAGAAAAAAAATCCCTGATCTCAAATGCTTGGGACTAGGAATATTTCAGTTTTTTAAATTTTGGCGTATTTGTAGACACTTCACTAGTTGAGCAGCCATAATCTGGGAGTTCATCATCTGCATTATGCTGACACCTGGAGTATCACGTCATGCTGGGTTCTTGGATTAGGGATGCCCAGTCTGTGTGATCTGCCAGGGACTCAAGGTCCCCTGTGAGAAGTGACCTTCTAGCCAGAGAAGTATCTGTGGCTCCTGGAGTATCCCTCAAGGCTCTAAATGAAGAATGCCAGTTTAGGCCCTGGATACTCCTGACCCTGGAAGTGAGACTGGACAGGGCTAGGCACATGGGCCAAAAGGACTGGAGGCTCATCACTTCAGGAAACACATGTTACACAGCCTGAGAATCTTCTCTGAAATTCTACTCACTTGATTCAATTTCTAATATTTCTATTTGTATTAAAAATCCTTGGCTTTTGCCAGTTAAAAACAATGCCAGGGTATCAGTGGACATTCACAGTCTGTCTCCCAACATCTGATGGGACATCAAAGCTCAGAACATTTTCTTCCACTCATTTCATTAAGCTCCCTGAGATCAGATGGCCAATGAAGGATGAAGGGAGAACAAATCGTCCCCACTTGTTTTATACTATGGAAGATGGGCTAATTCAAGTGTAGCTTGCAGGTGCCTTTCTTTGATGGCCCCCCTGATTCTCATTTCTTGGCCTTCGGCTTACACCCAGCATGAAAACGTAATTTCTTCGCAGCTGAAGACAGCTGAAAGGATATTACTCACATGCTAAAATGTTGATGTATCTGTTTTTGTGCTTGTTATCTGGATGATTGGAGTGTTCCGCAGTGATGTTCATATCAGCCGTACAGCGCTGGACTTCCTGGTGGAGAAAACAGACAGCGAGATTTTAGACACACTTCAGAAAGGAAGGAACTAAATATCTCCAAAGGCCTGAGGTGTCTCCTCACTCCCTAGCCACAGCTACCACTGCCTCCCAACTCCAGACAGATTTTCTGAAATATTCATGATAAATACAGGAAAATGCAAAGGTATAAAGATTTCATTCTTTACGGACTCATGGATCACCTAACATTTTCAAGATTTGATCTAGACATTAGGATGCAAGCAAAGGACCTGTTTTTGAGTATGTCCACATCCATCCAATGTGCCCAACAGAAAAGAGATGGGAGCATGGGTACAGGAGCACAGGAGGGCTTCAGACAGGAGATGCCAACTTGCCTGCAACATGTTTAGAAGCACTATAGCATCCTTTCAGAACCAGGAGACTGTGCACTGACTAAAGACCCAGTCCTGAAATAACACTAATGTGAGGAATCTTCAAAAAGTTTATGAAAAACCACTGCACAGATTTCAAATATCTTTTGCATCCAAAAAAAAAAATCCCACTTTTATTTTTAAGATGTATTTATTTGAAAAGCAGAGCTACAGAGATAGGGCAAAGACCCCACTGGTGCTCGGGCCCCTGCGCTCACATGGGAGACCAGGATGGAGTCCTGAACTCCTGCCTTCAGTCACGGCAGCCATTTGGGGAGTGACCCAGAGTGATGGAAGATCTCTCCATCTCTCCCTCTAACTATGCCTTTCAGAGAAATACAAGAAATCTTTAGACAGTAATTTACAAACCGCCAAATTATCCTTCTTTGGAAAAAGCAATGACAGGAAGGAACTGTCTTCACTAAGTTGGTCATGGATATAAACACCATCTATTAGCTTGTTTCAAGGTTGCTGAAAAACCCAATTTTTCTGCATTGTATGCTTCTAACCCAAGAAACTACTGGAGCTAACTAATAAGGAAAGTCATTAGCAGGGCACAGCTGCCACAAGAACAGGCGCAAAGTAGCACAAAATTATCAGGAGAAATGTTTTACACATAACAGATGTAACAGAGTTTAGGAGTGTACGGACTTTGTTCTCACAAAGGAGTTGCATAGCAATTATGGATGTTTTCCACAACATTTACATTAGTCTTCATGAAAACAAGGAATCGGTTGTCTTTTATATTCTCTAAGTACTTCCCAGTGAAAAGTGTCCCCTTCTCTTCAAAGAGAAACTCATTATCATCAGAGAATATAATGCATAAAAACAGTTACTATTTGTTCAAAGAATTCATATTTACTAACTCTGAATTCTTAGAAGATAAATACTCCGTTTTTCATAATTATACTCTTTCCCAGCTGTCCATCAAAAAATCAAATAACACACTCAAAAGTATTACTTTAGCCTACATCTTTGACCAAAGTCTATTCTATGTGACAATTCTTACCAGTATCTCACTTTTAGGCAATGTGTCGGGCTCTGCTCTTTTCTGTTCTGAAATAGTTAATAACCTACAGCTTGGCAAACACTGGTTTCAAGAGCTTGAAGGCTGCCTTTGGCTCTTTTCTCTAAAATGAGATAATAAACGGTAGGCGCAAAAAAACAAGTCTGCCACGTTAACCTCCCTGAGAACATAGGCCCTGCTAGCCAGACCAGGAATGGGGCATAAACTTTTGAATGTGGATCTGTATTCAGGACTACACTCATTTACTCTCCTGACAAAGCCCAGAGACGAGCTGCCATCCTTGGGTTCCGGGTTTGGAAGGTCATACCTTCTGTGTGTACTTCATCAGGGCTAAGTTGTTTCCCGTCAGTTACCCGGAGAGGTTGTACCTTTTAGTTCTTTAGTCTGTGATTAACCTTACAGATTGTTTTTTTACTTCTGTTGTGTGCATCAGACCCCAAGAGCTGTGGACTGAGGCTGGGGCTGTATTTCCATATAATGCAACAGACCACAACAGCTTGGGAGCAGCTGTGTGCACTGTTTAAAGCAGTCATTCAATACGGTCAATCACACTCTTTGTTATCTGAAATCCTTGGTCTGTCCACTGCTTGTATTTCACTTTTCCAATTAAGTGAATGACAGAAAACAAAGAAATGTCATAAATAATGTTCAATCTGATTTTATGAGAACCCGTGGGGTTTGCCTTCAGGCCCTCTGATTCTGTCTTGTGGATAATAATGTCATCTGTAATTCCTTGCAGTGCTGCTCGGCTCATTTAGATGCTGATAATATCATCTGATCCTGGAGTGGTTTTTCTCCATCAGAACTGGCATTTCAAAGTTAATGTGATTTTAATAGGTGTTAAAACCCTTTAAAGTGACACTGGCCGGTGGTATGTGCCCAGTAAAGTTACTTATTCAGCACTCTGAGGAGGAGTTTAGGACTTAAGCTTGTTTGCATTTTAAACCTGGAATTCTAATAATGAATATTCTCAATATTAATCAGCAAGCAACCACAGGAGAGGGCCTGTGGAGACCAGGAGGTTTAAAACAGAGTGCAGATCAAAGAGTGAACCGAATCACCAGTATCTGATACACCTGGAATTCTCAGCAGAGCAGATGGGCTGTGTGGAGTCCTTGCTGTGATTGGCCTACATAACACCTCAAGATCGGTACCCCCCCCCAAGTCCTGGGGCTCAGTTTGCTAAGATAAAATAATTGAAAAAACAACAACAACAACAACAACAACCACCACGTCTAGAAATTTTCCCATTTACTCACTTTCACAAAGCAAGCGGAGATGGAATGTTTTCCATCTAGTGAGCCAATGATAGACTAAGTGCACACACCATTTTTACTGTCTGTGTCGAGGCAGCCTATGCTGTGTGTGAAGGTGGCTGTTCTGCAGAGGATGAACTGGTTGGGGTCATGACTGCAGCCCCAGTCCTTAGACATGGTTAGATACAACAGCCGGCACGGAGAGAGAGAGAGGTGTTAGCCACCCTGCATGTTTCTGCTTCTACCCAGGCCACAGATGGCTGCCACACTGACCACCTTCCAGTGTTGGGATGACTGTGTTGTTACCTTACCGTATACATTCCAGATTCCTCAGCCAGGCATTCAAGGTTCCCTGCTCCCCATCTTCCGCCAGCTCCCTTTCCAATCTCAGACAGTATTTAACTCCAAGCCCTTTGAAAATACCATATGGTTTCCTGCTCTTTGCTTTATTGTCACTTGCCTTGCTAAGAATGCCTGTTCTTTGGGTTGGTCTTTCTTGACCTAAAATGAGTGCCTTTCCCCTTCAGAAAAACAACCCATCTTTGGAGAGTACAACACAGCACCTATCATTCTGCACTTGGTCTAGAATGTAGAATTATTCTGCATGACAATTTGTGAAATTTGGCTACTTCTTTTTCTCCGCCTTCATCAAAACATCATCGACTAGGACTTTCTTCCTAAGGATTTTATTTTTCTTTACGGTATTCAAGATGCAAAGTCACATTATCACAGAGGCTCAGGATAACACAGAGCTCGGGCTCCTTTCCTGCCCTCTTGCACACAGCAGCATTTAAGGCATCTTGAAGCTCCATGTAGAGACCCCCGTATTTTATGTCATTTGCAACCTGGCAAGTCTCCATTCATCACATAAAGTGCTCGTGGCCAGTGGTCCCTCAAGAGCATGGGCTCAGGTGGACAAAGCTTTGTTCTCTTGATTTCAGATGAACAACCAGCCCAAATTTTGCTCAGCTGGTTAACTGTTACGGGACCGTCCCCCAAAGGAGCCTGTCAAGTGGCTGTGGACCTCTGGGCTCATCTCTGCACTCGGCCTTTCAACATCAGCTTCTCCGGCCCACTGGCTGTTAATTCCGTTGACCCACGTTGCTCTGGAGATCACACCTTTTCAAAGATCACGTTCCCACTGCATCTCTGCCGGCCTTCTGCATTGTGACTGTGGAGGCTGGGGGAGAGGCTGTTAATCTCTTAACACTATGCTGGGAAGCCACTCCCTGGAAAAGACCGGGAGGCTGAAGTCAGCTCAGGGAGTCAAGGGAACAGAGATCCGCACATTACCCTGAGACAGGGACTGATGTTATTTCCAGTGACTGCAAAAATCTGCTGGAGATATGATGTTGCCAGCTTTACAAAGTCACTGCTATTCATCTGTCAACGACAAAAAGCTGGCTTTCAGCTTCACCCCTAGAGAAAGGCTCCCAATAACCAGTAAACTGATTTTATCATTCTACCCAAGTTGCTAAGTTCTGAAACTCTGCTATTCACCAAACATGTCTTCCTTGCAAGATTTTTCAGAATGACAGAGCAAACAGAACTTTCACTGAAATGCCCGATCCAAACTCACAGCTGTCCTTGTGCCCTGTACATCTTCTGGACTTTCTACCAGCATTAGAGCAAGTACTCCTTTCATTTTTCTTTTCCACTTTAGCCGTGTACACTCTCGTCTCCTCCTTACTGACTGTGCTCTGAGGGCTAGGGCTGTTGTCTAATTCATTCTGGTGCTTTCTATCATGGGTAGAAAATGGCGCACAGTAACTGTTGGATGAGCTACTTTATGGCCAAACATCAACAGCTGAGCATATTTCGGTGGAATCTTAAGAAGGGTCCTTTGACCTGCTGTAGACCTCCCTTCAGACAGTGGGTACGATTTCTCGGAGTCATAATCTCAGGTATCAGACAGGGCTTGAGACCCCAGAGATCATCCCGTGGACATCTAGTGCTCCTGATTGCTCTTCCCAACCTCCTTCCCCTTTTTTCTTCCCTGTTTCGCCAGGGCACAGCTGCAGGGGAAGATTTAGACAATCTCTGGGCCTCTTGTGTATTTCTCCTTCTGACGTCAGCTCATTACAGGACACTAATGAGAGTCTGGATATCATCACGTTAACCAAGTCAGTTGGAATCAGATGGCACTGGGCTTGCAGCCCCGTGCTGCCATTCCACAACCTGGCCATCGAATGCCTCACTCTGCTCACCTGCAAATGGGGACCCTTATCTCATGCGGCTGTCCTGAGGACGGAGAGAAATACTGCACGCACAGTGTTAAGGAAATGCTTGCCATCGCATTCACATAAATGCATCTGGAAATCGAGGATTGAGATTACTCCTCTCTTAACCACAGTGAAGGGCTTTAAAATTGCACAAAATCTTTTTTTCCATCTCTCCTTATATAGCTTGTTACTATCTGTTTATAAAACAGTCGTACTAGTTTCTTATGTAGCCTGTTACCAGTTTTGCCTTTTAGCAGTTACCAAAAAGGAGTGGTACAACTGTTTAAAAATACTTCAGATTTTTGCTAAATTAGAAAGTGACAGTACATCGGTGAGCGTTTGGACTGTGTAATTCTCTTTCTGTTGCTGCTGCTTTACTGTTCTTTTTAGAAGAGAGACTATTCTTCCTAATCTGCAGAGCTCTGATTTGTAAAGCTTGCAAACCAGGAAAGACTGCGAGATGACGACAGGAGAATGATGGTCCCTTCCTGCGCACCCTCCCATTCTACTTCCCAAACCACTAGCTACAAATACTTCCCCTACATAGTTCAATGCAGGGAACTGAAGATTTTAGCCACAGTATTTTTTCAAACTATACACACAGGGTCCAGATGCTCAGGATTTGTTAACAGGCGTGATTTTGATGCAGCAAAGCCCATTTTAAGTCAGATCAAGTTTACAGAGGTGTAGCTGATTATTTTGAATAATTAAATGGTGTCAAAACCAGCTGTGATGAATAGCACTGGGGTCTCAAATCATAAATAATTGAGAAACCCGAGTTGCATTTGATCATCCTGATCAAATTCTGTTCTCTAGGGGATAAATGTTTGTCCTGCATCCCATCAACATTGTTAAATGCCTCAATATTCTTGCTCAGCCATCCAGCCAACAGTCAACTCAACTAAATCACTTTGATGCCACGCACATTTGCTGTCCTCATGAATACAAAATGCTGGACTTAAACCTTGTTCTCTGCTGTTGGACAGACACCTTTTGGGGTAGGCGTCTAATAGCAGCATTTGATAGTCAGGGTTTTGCTCCTCACAACACAGGACTCACGGCAGTCAAAGAGTTCTTTCTCTCCATCACCTTTGTTTTCTGTTTACTTAAAAAAGCAAACAAAACCTAACAACTCAAAGAAATACTTAGTTTACAAATGGGCTGCCAACCTAACTGCCTCTATGCTAGCCTTTGGGGATCCCACTGTTTGCACAGAGGCAGGGCCTCCTGGTCCATTTGCATTTCTCATTGTTCACTCCAGGTAAGCTGCAGGGCTCCTAGGTGATCCCGATAAACTCACCGTCCATGCACTCGCGTGAGCCCCATAACCCCGGCTGCGGAAAGCTGGTGGGGTCGATTAGCATCACCACCACCATCATTGTCGTCCTTTCCATTTTGAAGCCGCAACGAGGCAGAGAAAGGAGTCGACTTAGCCACAAAGCTAGAAGACAGCTGAGCTGCCATGCAAACTTGGCCTCGTCGGCACCGCTCTTGTTGCCAGAGATGTGCCTCCGTGACGCGCCTCAGTGAAGAAAAGGGCAGTCTGTTTAATAGCTCCTCATTGACACCCTGTCACTGCCGAACTGGCACGGAACCCGGAGCTGGCAGGGCGGTGCACGCCGCTCTGCACCTTGTTTCCGACAATCCGGAGGCTGGCTTCCCCCACGTCTTCCCTCCGAGGGATTAATAATCATGGCAACGGCGACGATCCACAGTCGCACCATTTCTAATCGTTACCTCGGCACTTGCATACATGTTGATCATTTCTTTCCCAGCAACGTTAGGGTGCGGGTGACAGCAGCACCCTTTTGCAAAAGCAGGGAGGCCGGGGATCAGAGATGAGGTGGTTTGGCCCACGGATTCCAAAGCTCTCAACTGCAGCCAGCATCCGTGGATGCCAAACCCGCTGCTTCCAGGACACCATGTGTGTCACAGAAATTACGCGAAAATCAGGGATCTTTGCGTTGTGAATGCTGTTCCCGGACAGAATTAAGAGGAAGACAGAACCTGAAAACCAGTCCCCACCAGTTTGCCTCTGAGTGCACGCTCAGAACAAGGGGATCCAACTGCCCGCCACCCAACTGAAACTGAGAAAGAACGCCTGGAAAAATTTTAAGTGAAAAGAACAAAAATCTCCACTTTTCAGATGTACTTTTTGTTAGGCGTAGAAGAGATTCAGTTTTATACAAATCTCTGGAAGGTACGAGTTAGGTGTCTGGAAATCAATTTCCAGGTTTGAAACATACCTCAAAATCCTCGGAGAATCCATGCTGGTTGTTAGAGTAGAGCTCACCAATGTGTTTCACAAACTGCTTGACGGGAATGGCTTCCATGTCATCTGGGGGAATGCAATGATATCGCAAGTCACAAGGAAGGCTTCCACACAACAAATGACGCTGACAAAGCCAATCACCCTTCTTTAAGACAAATGTGTGCTTTTGTGCAAGGAGTGATAGATCTGGGCTATCTGAAATGGATGTCCTAAAGACCACAATGAGGATTTACTTCGCAGCAGGGTGTGATGAGCTCTTCAGAGGCCTACATGCCAGCTGAATGGTTTTCAAAGAAGGCTCACGGAGGGAGGGGCTGGTGTCCTGGCACAGATGACGCCGCACCACGTGACGCCGGCATCCCTCATCACAACACCGGTGCAGTTCTCCACTACGGCACCTGGAAAAGCAGTGGATGATGCCCCAAGTACTTGAACTGTTGCTGCCCACGTGAGAGATCCAGATAGAGTTCCAGGCTCCTGGCGTTGGCCTGGCACAGACCGGGCTGTTGCAGTCATTCGGGGGAGTGAACCAGTAGAAAAGCATGTAACTCTCTGTCTCTCTCTTCCCTCTCTGTGTCACTCTGCCTTTCAACTAAGTAAAATAATTCATTTGTACCAAAAGGTAGACAATTCATTTTTTATGCTGAAGCCCACTTACACAATTAAACTAGCACACCATACTCTTTCCCAGAAGAGTAAATTAACCAAGGATATCTATTTGCTAAGAAATTTTATCACAATCTGGGTTTCTGTTTTTGTTTTTAATTGCTGTTTTCAAGGGATCCAGCTTAGACTTGCAACAAGTAAATTCCACCTCCACTCTTCTTCTAAGAAATCATTTACACAATTACACATAGATACTACTGTACCACTTAGTCCTGGGTCCAAGACCAACTATCTCTAAGTGTTCAAAATTTTGGTTCAAGAAAGCTGTGTGGTCATGATGCCCAATAATCTATTAGACTGAATTAGTGGATTTTTTTTTTTTTTTGGTGTTGACAGACTATGTATACATTCAGGAAGACTCTATATTCCACCTTCTCATCGTGTTGTCACTTCAAAAGTGCATTTCCAGTTCAAGAGCCTGGAAGGGTGCTCTAAGTGTATTTGCGCAGGTGCAGTCTGATACCCGAGTCCTGCTGTACAACAGCTACATCCAACTAACTGGAGCTCCCCAACCTCCTTCCTCCTTCCTCCCTCGACCCTCCCCCGCAAATATTTCCTCTTAAAAATACTCTGCTGAATTTGAGATAAACAACAGACATGACATTTACTTTATTCAGAGTGAAAGATCTTTGGCAAACGCACAAACATCTAAACTGCCACAGATGCTTTTCTTAGCAAAGGGTATGAAGATCTGTATGTGTAAATGAGGTCCTACTTTGGCAAGAATTTTATAGATCCAGGCCTGACAATCTGATTTCTCTTCATCTGGTGACAGTTAACATTGACTATGTCATTCCTTCTCTACTTTCTCTCGAGAGAGCAAAGCTCTAGGGTGGCTTTTTGCATCTATTGACATTTTCAAACTTGAATCATTCTTAAGCGGAAAATAGCATCTCTTATACTTAAGGAAGGTGATTTATATGTTCCTAATCCAAACTGCTTAGCATAGAAATGTTACTTATCAAATAGGTAGTGCTCTGTGAGCACCGGTTCTTTTCTGTGTGAACAATTCAGGTTCTAATCATTTTAATAGGCAACCTTAAGAAAAAAATTGCCAAGTTATTTACAAATATTTCAGGATTGAAGATGTTCATGAATATGCAATCATGTTGTATGCCCAAGAAATCTATAGCTCCCATGATGTAACTAGCATTAACAAAGTAAGCAGAGCCAAAATGCTTCCCCAGAATATTTAGCAGAATGCACGATTCAAGATAAATTTTTCCAAAATTTTCTATAGATTCACTTAAAATTTTCAGAAGTAAGCAAATCCTAAAATAATGCTCAAGTGGCAGTGAAATGATCTCGGGGTATGTTGAACAAAGACATTATATATATATATATATATATATATATATACACACACACACACACACACAAAGTTGAGTCTGTTTAAGATGAGCTCACATAATGGGGCCGGCGCCGCGGCTCACTAGGCTAATCCTCCGCCTAGCGGCGCCGGCACACCGGGTTCTAGTCCCGGTCGGGGCGCCGGATTCTGTCCCGGTTGCCCCTCTTCCAGGCCAGCCCTCTGCTGTGGCCAGGGAGTGCAGTGGAGGATGGCCCAGGTGCTTGGGCCCTGCACCCCATGGGAGACCAGGAAAAGCACCTGGCTCCTGGCTCCTGCCATCGGATCAGCGTGGTGCGCCGGCCGCAGCGCGCCGGCCGCGGCGGCCATTGGAGGGTGAACCAACGGCAAAGGAAGACCTTTCTCTCTGTCTCTCTCTCTCACTGTCCACTCTGCCTGTCAAAAAATAAATAAATAAATAAATAAATAAATAAAATTAAAAAAAAAAAAATGAGCTCACATAAACTCATCTTTGAAGAGGAGGCACAAAGAATGACATGAGACGTAACCCCAACAACAGCTTAGCATATAGAAAGCAGCAATTCTTTCCTAGTTGTGTACAAATAAGAGATATAAAACTGTTTTCAAAGGCAGCGTGATATCGTTAATAGTAGAATGGGGTGAGCACAAAATTCCCTCCACAACGACAGCTTAGAATTTTCACTTCCCCTTAAACTTAGGGTGTCACTATGAAGAACGGGGGCTATAGTTCAAAATCAGAAAACGTATCAGCCCTAGCGCTGCTCTACTCTGTGAATTAAAGATGTTCAAGTTCTCATGATTCCAAGGTGAAAATCATGGCACTTTAAAGGCCACAGTCCACCTCAAATCATTAAAATAAATGCTTTCAAGGTTAACAACTTATTATATTTTTTTCCTGCAAAGTACTCAACTGAAACACCCAAGCTCACATCACACAGGCTCAGCACGCAGACCGCCTGCTACCCGCATGGCTGGATGATGCAGAAACCTCACAGATCTCAGCACGATACTCATGGAAATATGACTCACTAGTCTCTCCAATTTGCATCTTTACCCCAGGAAGTCTAAGCATACCCTCTGGGTTTCTGGGCACCACTGATAGCATCAAAAAATGGCCACATGCATGCTGCACTGACCAATGCCAGCCACCCAGGTTACACGTTCTTTCTCTTTCAATGAAGATGGATAGCCGAGAGGTCATCCCTCTTTTCTCCGCTACAGTAAGATGGATTTAAAGCCAAGAGTGACTAACTGCAAGTCTTAACTGTCCTGTTTGCCCATCAATTCTCTAAACATGAACAAGATGATTAGAAAAATAATGCAACTAGCAGAAGGCCAGGCAGTGAGACAAGTATCCTAGACATGACCTGCTCAGTTTGTATCTAAAAAATCCTACATGTTGGAAAAAGACATACATGCATAAATTTCCATCTGAACACAGGAATCTCATTAAAGATCGCGGAGGAGGTGAGCAGACTAAGAAGGAATGTGTATTTTCCATGCACATCACATTGATTAACGTGCACTCAAAGGGATAGCTACTATTTTCATACTCCTCTGACCATCGAGCAAGCAAGTTTTCCTAGGTTAACCCACGGCTGCTATTCATCAGAGAAAGCTGGCTTCAGACCCACGGGAGCTCTGACTCAGAGAATGGGAACCTACTAGATGAAGCAGTGAGTGAGCACCTGGGACTCAGGCAGGTGTTAGGGAGAGGGTCTCTGCTGCAGGACATTTGAACTGCGCAAGACATGAACGTGACAAAGTGAGGTCGCGAACGGTATGTGACTGCATGGTGCAGAGTACCAACTCTTGGGGCAGGTGCAATGCTGCAGTGAGTTAAGCTGCCGCTCAGGATGCCTGCATCTCGTATCAGTGTCCGTTCAAGCCTCGGCTACTCTGCTTCTGATCTAGCCTTCTGCTACTGTGCCTAGGAAGGCAGTGGATGACAGCTCAAGTACTTCTGTCCCTGCCACCCTTGTGGGAAGGAGGCCCAGATTAAGGTCACGGCTCATGACTCTGGCTTGACCCAGCTCAGGCTTGTTTTTCTTTTTTTAGTTTTTTATTAATGTAAATATTAATAAAAGACTAACTAAGATCAGGCTTAATGCACCACTAACCAAGAGAGTCAACAAATAGAAAGTAGAAAGATAACCATTCCACAGGAGAACAGACAAGGGCTAAAAACAATAATCAGATCACAAAACGTCCATTTTATTCTTATACTTATTCATCAATAGATGGACATCTTGGTTGATTCCCTATCTTAGCTACTGTGAATTGAGCTGCAAGAAGCCCCGGCTTTTGTACATTAGGGGAATGAACCAGCAGATAGAAGATCTCTCCCTCCTGGCCCAATACCCCATCACTCTGCCTTGCAAATAAATAAATTTTTTTTTAAAAAGACTAAAAATGCTAGATGGATTTGATGACTTCAGTGAGAATAAATGTCACTGGTGTGGTGGTGCTGATGGGAGAAGTATGCAGAACAGACTTGTGGGCCAACATCAAAGTAAGGTGTCTTCACCAACTGCAGGTCTGATGGCAGACTGTTAGGATGTAACGCAGGGGCTGGCGCTGCAGCGTAGCAGGTAAAGCTGCCGCCTGCAGTGCCGGTATCCCATATCGGCTGCTCAACGTCCGATCCAGCTCTCTGTTATGACCTGGGAAAGCAGAAGAAGATGGCCCAAGTCCTTGGGCCCCTGCATCCATGTGGGAGACCCAGAGGAAGCTCCTGGCTCCGGATTGGCATCGGCGCAGCTCCAGCCACTGCGGCCAATTGGGGAGTAAACCAGCAGATGATAGACCTCTCTTTCTCTGCCTCTCCTTCCCACTCTGTGTAACTCTTTCAAGTAAACAAATCAATCTTTGAAAAAAAAAAAAAAATGTGATGCAGTAAGAAGAAAGTCTCCATTTACTAAGTCCTTACAGATTGCCAAGGGACTATGCTAGATGTTTATCATACATTATCTTTACACAAACCCAGTGAAACGAACGTAATTGTCTTTATAATACCTATAAGGAAACCGAGGCAACTTCTGCAAAGTCACATAGTTAATTTAATGGCAGT